CACTGTGTAGTTACATGGACAGGGCCAGCGGACTTCATTTGGATGCAGATCTGGGTTAGAGGAGTCGGTCCAACCCATAGGCCCCGTAGTGGTTCCTTGTTGTGGTTCACATATAAAACACTATAAGGTCATCCCAAACGGAACTACTATGGGGCCTATGGGTAGCAACCAATGCTTGAGGGCTGCGTTAGGGCTTAGAGACTCCTAGAAGCCATGGTTTACCTGTGGAACCGAAACCCTACAGTTTAGGGTTCTACCCTCTGATTACGGAGGAATGACCTACTATTCTGCAGGGTTAGCGGTCACAGGTAGAGATTAGGATTGAGAGTCAAGCCTACAGAGTCTACCGCTTTAGGGTCATAGCTCGCTCTCCGAGTCCGTGTCGATCCGGAAGACCTGGGGCCGCTGGGCCCGGCGCTGCTCCTGAATGAAGTAGTGGTCCACGGCGCCCGATTCCTGCATGCCGTTCAATGTCGCAAGGTCCGTGGTTTGGCTCGGCCGCGAGGCGTCGGAGTCAGTCCCACCGCCAGTGGCAGGGCCCCAGCCCGTGAGGGCGGAGGCCGCGTTCAAGCCACCCTCGATGGCCCACGCGGTTCCGACCAATGCCGCGCCTGTGAGACATTCCTCGTGTCACAGACCAACAGAGGCAGGCCACCTTCAGGCTTCCTGTATTCAAACTCATTGCCACCTGAAAGGGTCTATACACACAGATGGCATCCACATTTCGGTCACATCACTTTCATGTCCAAAGAAGTAAAACTGGGACCTCGACTCCGAACTGCCTTCTCGTTGCCAATCAACAATCTGGCAGCCATGGGCACAGCCTGCAAATCATTTCAACCACAGGACGCATGAAAGCTGAAATACCTGGATCCCGCCTCCTGTGTTTATGTGCCTCTGGCTCTTTGTGGGATGCACTGCGGCTTTAGTTGAGGCTTGCAATAGGGTGTAGAAAGTTTAGGGAGGGTTCAGGGTCTAACCATAGGCCCCATAGTAGTTCGTTTCTGTGATTCATATACAAAATCCTATAAGGTAATCCAAAAAAACACCTATGAATAGGATTTAGGGGAGTCTTTCAACGTTTCGATCTTGTGGTACAATTTTCTTTGGAGGTTCCTCTCCGCCTGACTAGTCTAGCGTGTTGTATTCTGCTACGTCCTATAACCCTGAACCTAAACCCCAATGAAGAAACGAAATCCTTCAAATCCTAAATCCTGGCACCCCAATGCCCTAAATTCTGAAATCCTCAAAACTGTAGATCCCCAAGAGAACTCTATTATGAGCAGAACCCCTGAATCCTAAACCCCAAACCCTCAACCCCTAAATCCTAAACCCCTAAACCCTAAACCCTCAACCCTAAACCCTAAACCCTAAACCCTGAACCCTAACCCTAAACCCCTACCTAAACCCCACAAAATACCCTTCCCAGAACCCCCATTGGACCGATCGGAGGCTCCATTGCCATAGTCTTGGAAGTGGTGGAAGTATCGCACCTGGCGACTTAATGTAGGGGCCTTCATAATTAAAATAGGTTTCCTTTAAGGGGTCCTTTAAAGGGGCCCTTCAAAGGGGTCTAAAGGGATCTGTGAGGGTACTACAATCTAGGGGCCCTTTTTCTGGCGGCTCAGGGCTCAAAGTTGGGTTGCAGGGTTCCGGGTTGCGTTCAGGGTTCTTGGGTTCAGGGTTTAGGGTTTTAGGGTTTCAGGGTTTAGGTCTTGGGGCTCACGGTTTTCATAGGGATCCTTAGGGGTGTAGGGGGGAGGGGTGTAGGGGACTATATTTCCTTAAATAGGCCTTATTAGTCCTTATTATGGGCCTTAAGGCCCCCTACCCCCCCTCCCCCTACACCCCTAAGGATCCCTATGAGGTTTAGATTTTGGGGCTCGGGGCTCTATCATAGGCACTCTGCTGAGGTTTCGTATCGTACATGATATGAAGTTGGCCACGGATTATTGTGGTTTATGGAACATGATTAACAGTCCAAGCGCCGGTGGCTATAGAAGATTGTTGTAGAGTACTTGATGCTATGATCTTCGCAATATGGGTTATGCATAACAACATGTTGATGATATAAACCCTGCATTACCCCTAGTAAGGAATATACCATAGTTCTCATAGTTTAGGGTCTTAAGGTAATGCAGCATCTAAATCATCAACCGTATCGTATCTGATGGTTTAGGGCTTCGGGGCGATGCTGCTTGACTTCTAAGCTTAGTTCGCCTCGCTCTTTTGTGCAGGTGCTTTATGGCTCAGGGTTTTATAGTTCAAGGCTCAATTCAGTAGCAAGTTCAAAGCTGGTGTAGTTGAGGAAGACCCTTAACTGAAGCCCTAAACCCCTGTACCCTAAATTGAGCGACAAGGCAGCAAGAGGAACCTCTTGCTGCTCTTCTGGCCACGAAGAGCCCCTAAACCATAGGGCCCTAAAGTAAAAGCCAGAAAGTTGGAATATGATTATCCTAACCCTTCTATGGTAAATTATAGGGTATCCTACCATGAAACCATATTCCAACTTTCTGGAGTTCCCCTTAATTCCTCATCGAAGCATCTTCAAAACTTCAGTCCCTCTTCGCCTTAAAGACCTTAAGGCCTCCACCCAACAGAGTCTCTAACGTGGTGACGGCCACAAGGCATACGGGTACCTTAGCCTACCAAAACCTACTTTTTTGTAGGGTCCCGATATTTTCCGTATTTAGTAAGGACCTACAAAAAATAGGGTTTGGTAGTTTAAGGTAGTTTTCTAAATTAATTGAGATCCCGTTTTAGGTCCCCAATATTGCCCGGCACCCTTGCAGACAGGACCCCCAAAGGCAGCCTAAGTTTAGAGAACTACCCATACGAACACGCAGGACCAGCCCCTTCCCGTGCACAAAAGCAGCCCGTTCCGGGGTTGAACAGGTACAATACATTTCGCGCGCTGCATAACTATATTGTTTCGTTTAGAGGAACTTCCATAGCAATCTTGCTAGGGTTTACGATTCAAAAGTTCCAGAGTTCAAGCACAGCCCAACACCCAAAACCCTAAAACCCTTGACCCTGAAGCCCCAAAACCTAACCCCTAAACCTTGACCCCAAAATCTAAACCACAAACCCTGAACACCGAGGCCCCAAGGACGTTAAGTCCGAAACTGCTCCATCTGCTCAACACTAACATCCCCTTCACCCTGAACCTGAAAGGGGAAAAGGATGGACCCTTAATGGGGACCCCTACCCTATAATGGGCTATATCATGGCTATATAATAGCTATATTAAGGGTATATACCTTGGGGTCCTTAATAAGGGTCCCTCCTTTTACCCTTGGAGAACCGCCAAACCCGGAAGCCCGAAGCCCCTAAGAAAACCCGATCCCGCTTCTCGGATGGATGGGGCTCCAGGCGGAAAATCAAACACATCCAATACAGGGGACTTACCTTAACCCTGAAGAACCTACCTTTTTGAGGACTTACATAAGGAAATCATACTAGGGAACCCTGAAAAGGTAGGTTCTTCAGTGTTAAGGTAATAATTAGAATAGGGATCCTCGTGGCATCCTGAAATCCGCAGACCTCCAGATCTGAACCCGGAACTCCGAACGACCATCAAACCCTAGACCCTAAACCCTAAACCTCTAAACCCCAAAACCCTAATTTAAACCCCTAAACCCCTAAACCCCTAACCTTGAAATTCTGAGACCCTTGACAAAAAGTCGCGAAAAACTTCGTGCGCAGACCAGGGCAGGAGTGCCCTTTGGGGTCCAGGGCGGTAGAACAAACAAAGCAAACGGTTGATGATATAAATCCTGCATTACCCATAATAAGGAATATATGGGAATGATGGTATATTCCTTATTACGGGTCATGCAGGATTTATATCATCACCAGAAGTACATCCATGACTGCTAAACGCTAAAAATCATCCTCAACTCTTAAACTCCGCACAAACACTGAAAACCGTAAGCCCAAAATTTAAAAGCGGAACCCTACAAGAATCCTAACTCCCAAGCCCCAAGCAACCTCTGCAACCTAGAAGCACTGAGCCATACATTGGGTTTAGCCGCCCCGCCGCTGCAGTAACAGTCTACAATAAGGGTAGCGTTAAGGGCCTCAGAATATCGTACATATATATATATATATATATATATATATATACATGCATATGTTTTACATATCTCTCTGTCTCTATCTATCTATCTATCTATCTACAGTACACATATTTATTTCTCACCCGCAAGTATGCAAGCCATAAACCCGCCCCACCGGGAAGCCTCGTGCGTCCCTCCAAAGAGCTCAAAGCTCTTCGTGCACTGGTAGAAGGCACCCTGAAGTCAAAGGAGACAGGATAAAGTTTGAGGTAGGGTTTAGGGTTTAGGGTTTAGAGTTTAGGGTTTAGGGTTTAGGGTTTAGGGTTTAGGGTTTAGGGTTTAGGGCTTAGGGTTTAGGGTTTAGGGTACAGTTTGGGGTGTATCCCGGCGTCAGGGTTGCATTTTCACAGCTTCACTTCACGCGTCTAAAACTTGTCTGGGGTTGCTGCATGGATCGCCTATACCCAGATCCGGCCCTTTCTCACCTTAGTTTAGCTTCTGATTCTGACTAGGGTCAGAACCATAAAATTCAGAATAGGTTCATTCTAAGGTCTAAGTCTATGATTCCGCGATGTTGAGGGCCTCTTTGCGCTCGGAGACAACTCTGAGAGACGGTGCAGGCCTACATGCCAACCCGGAATCCTAAACCCCGAACCCGCAAACCCTAAACCCCTAAACCCAAACCCCCAAAAACCCTAAACTCCTAAACCCGAAACCCAAACCCCTAGACCCCAAGTTCCACAGGTCTGAAAGCCCTTAACCTAAAGGTCCGGGAATCATATCTAAAGCCCGAACACCGAGATGTCTCAACCAGGGTCCAGGGCTTAGGGTTGGGGTTCAGGGTTTTTAGGGTTTAGGCTTTGGCTTTGGGGTTTATATAGGTAAGCAGACCCGAAACCCCTAACGTATGTAGTAGTACTTGTTCAGGCCCCTAAAACATTCTCAGCCAACCGGCATGGCCTCGTAGGTGTCGTACATTGGCGCGATAGCCATCGTTCCTTGGCGGTTGCTTGTCAACTAGAGTTTGAAGCATAAAGCCTCGCACAATCCGTAAAACGTCCTAAGCAACTCTCTGGAAAGCTCGTAGACCCGTATAAAGGCTGTAAGGCTCAATAAATGCATATGTACTATCCTCTTTAAGCCATGGAGATTGGGAACACGGAGGCTTGGGAATTGGAGTTCGGAGTTCGCAGGGGTTAGGGCCTAAACCCGAAACGCAAAAACCCTCCACAGTCTGAAGCTCAACACCCTCGGCAGTCTCTGAAACGGTGCCCCGACCCGGCAGGCGAACCATCAGTCCAAATTAGTAAAGAACACCCAGACTAGTATAGGTAATTATGAACCCCCCTATATGGTATATAATCCCCAATAGACCCCATAACCCAGTGTCAAGATATTCGGTAATTTCTCGCGGGACCCAGGGTTCCCCATTCCAGCTAGGAGCCGGTGTTGGAACCCAATCGTCCGCTCCCCACTCGTGTAAAGGAACCTCCGCCTCGGGACGCAAAGGAGTATATAGGATCCTCTGCTGTCGCCCCATCCAGCTCATCGGAGGGCTCAGGTAAAGTAGAGCTCGCCTCCCCAGCCGGTGCGGATGCGCGTTCCTGTAAAGCACTGCGCCAGAAATCAAACCACTGGCCGCGAGAGTACCCTCCTCGTCCTTCAAAGGATTCGGAGGCGTCCCAAAGCTCCCACGCGGTGAGCTCCTCAAAGTTCACTGGGAAATTCTCACCCTCGGACTAGGGTTTCGGGTTTTAGGTGGGCTTTAGGATTTAGGGTTCGCAGGTTAAGGGGTTGACGAGGTTTGCCAGGAACCAGTACCGAAGTCGGTGATGTACCTCAGGTTGGGGTCTTTGCGGAGTAAGGCTTCAGGGTTTACACAAGGTACATAATAATGGCTATCAATACGGCTGATGGACAAAATCCTGCCTGACCTTCAGGACCCTAAACTATGGGAATTATGGTATATTCCCCCCCATTCGAAGGGCTTAGGGGGTTAAGTCCATGAGGCTGGAAGCTTCAAACCCAAACCTTCAACCTCTCCAGTCGAAGCCCAAAAGTTGGAAACCCAATAGCCTCAATCCTTGAGAGTAATGTATAGGGAATCCCAGCACTATTTGGCCTTAATCCGGTTTCCAACTTTATGGGGTTTACTGTAACCCTAACCCATAAACCCTAAAACCCTAAACCCTAAAACCCCTAAATGGGGGTTACTGTAAGCTTTCGAGCGATAAGCTCTTAGCTAAATCCACTACGTCCAAGCAAAGGCCGGCTTTGGATGATTCGGAGTTCAGGTCTGAGGCGCAGGGACCCTCATGGGTTCAGGATCTCGGGCCTTGGGTTTGGGTTTAGGGTTTAGGGTTTTTGGCTAGACTATAGGCCACAGGTTTTATAGACGAATCGCGAAAAGTGGCCCGTGCGAACCCCAACCCATCAACCCCAACACCCAAACCCCAAAGACCCTGAACCCTAAACGCCAAACCCTGAAGCCAAGAACCTAAAGCCCTCAGGCCGCCTAAGCCCTAAACCTTAGGTACGGCCCCCTTACAGTAAGAGTCCATTAATAATAGGGCTACTATCAAAGTCCTATTACATCTTTATAAGGACTATTATTCAACTATTACATCTTTATAAGGAATATTATTCAACTATTACATCTTTATAAGGAATATTATTCAACTATTACTGTGTGGGGGCCGTACCCAACCTAAACCCCCTCAGCCCTCTACGCTCAACCCTAGAAGCCCGTAAGGATCCTTCTAATGGAACCCTCAAAGGAACCCGTAGCTTCCAAGGGTAAAAGGAGGGACCCTTAATAAGGAGCCCTAGGTATATACCCTTAATGGAATCCTCAAAGGAACCCTAAAAGGAGGGACCCTTAATAAGGACCCCTAGGTATATACCTTTCATAATATGGCTATCATACACCCCATGAAAACAAAACATTATAGGGAATCAGGGGTCCCCAGTAAGGGTCGGGAGATTAACCCGCTTTACAACCAGAATCCCTACTTTACAACCAGAATCCCCACTTTACAACCACAGGCACTGTTTTCCATGTGAGAATCCCCACTTTACAACTGCCGACCGTGAGAACGCCCACTTTGCAACCCGTCTACCCATGATTAAGACTTAATGGGATTGCATGAGTTTTTTTACAACAAACCTACCTAGATTCCTAATAGTTTGTTGGTTCTTTGACCCCCTATAGTGTTGTACGTGGCCTTCATCCGACCGTGGCCCCAAACTACTAAGATCTCGAACATCCCTCAAATTGCTTCGTCGCATGATATCTTTGATCTTTGTCGTCTGTGGGTGCCATGTTTTATGTATGCTTTCCTCAATACAAGCACACAAAAAAGGAAAATCATTTTTTGAAAGTACTTGTATGGCGTAAAACCGTAAATACAACATCAAATGTAGTAAAATGTTCGGGTTCATGTATTGGCTTTAATATAAATATACATATATATATATATATATATATATCGCTCTGGTGAGAAAAGAATCCGTTTCTAAAACTAATGTTTTCTTTCTGCTTTCCCCAATACAAACACACTCAGTCCGAGTTTGCCTGCAGGGAGTGAGTTGGATACAGCTTGACGGCCGCAAGTGCGTAAAGTGCAAACCACTATGCAACAACACGCTCGCTGAGGTGAGCATCTAAACAGTATCATCGATACCAAACCCTCACGCATCTAAATATATATATATATATATATGTACATATCTATCGTGGTTTCGGGTTAAGAACGCCCACATTGCAACCAACATCACTTTCCAACCTGCATGGCTGCCGTAAAGGATGATGCTAGAGATTCTAGGCTTTAACGTTATCAGTTAATAGGGTTGTTAAGAAGCTTTCCCAACCGGTTGCAAAGTGGGGATTCCGGAAAGGCTCATGGGTTGTAAAGTGGGGGTTCTGGTTCTAAAGTGGGGATTCTGGTTGTAAAGCGGGGTACACGCAGTAAGGGTCCCTCCTTTTCCCCTTTGATAGATACCCTAAACCCACAGCCCCTACCTTCACCCGGAATAACCTACCTTTCTAAGGTTTTACATAAGGAAATCATACTAGGGAACCCTAAAAAGGTAGGTTCTTTTGGGTCCAGCCCTGGATCTTCCGAGCTATATAAAACCAACTACTGTAGGGGCCTTAATAATCAGAATACGGCTCCTTTTAAAGGGTCCTTTAAAGGGTACAAGGGTACTATAATATAAGGGCCTTAATAATTAGAGATCGGTTCCTTTTTAGGCTTCCTTTGAAGGGTTGTATGAGGGATCTATAAGGGTACTATAATATTATAGGGGCCTTGATAATTAGAATAGGGTTTTGGGGTCTATTATACTCTATTTAGAATACGGAACCCCCAGAAACTAGTATAGGTAATTATTACCCAGAGGGGCCACATACACTACTATTATGGAATTAGGCCCTGAAAGACCCTCCCCAGTCTGGTTTTGGGGGCCTAATTGCATCATTGTAGTGTATATGGACCCTCTAGGTTATAAATAGGGCCCCAAAAAAGCACACAAGCAACGACAATTAGGAGGGATATCGACATGTAAACCCCCTCAAAAGGTCCCTAATGTAAGGCCCCTGTACCATCGTCCAAGCGGCGGTGGCCCCTCACGGCGAAGTTGTAGGCATACCTCACGGAAGCTGACTGCCATAAGCCAGGGGCCTTACTAATTAGAATAGGGTCCCTTTAAAGGGTCCTTTAAAGGGTACAAGGGTACTATAATATAAGGGCCTTAGTAATTAGAATAGGGTCCCTTTAAAGGGTCCTTTAAAGGGTACAAGGGTACTATAATATAAGGGGGCCTTACTAATTACAATAGGGCTCCTTTAAGGGGTCCTTGAAATTAAAGGGGTCTCTAGCGGATGTGGATCTATAGTAGGGTTCTATATTACGGGCCAAGAGAGAATAGGGTGTTGGGTATATATACATATATACCTATTCAGGCCCCTAAAAAGTCGCACAAACCGACAGCACAAAACCAGAGAAGATACGACGAAACGATACCCAGGATGCCTGAAACCGAAGCGCCACACCCCTTAAGCCTCAGTTCCTGAAAACCTGAACATAGAAATAAACCCTAAGCCCTGTCTATACACCCTGAGCCTTATATGCCTTGAACCTAAAAACCCAAGCCGAATTAAACCGAAACCCTAAACTCTAAACCCTAAACCCTAATCCCCCAAACCCTAAACCTCAAACCTCAAACCCTAAGGAGACAACAAATCTGCAGCCCCGCTGCTGCGCTGCCACGATTGCGAGGCCGCCGCTCTTGGACCATGGGTGGAGCTCCTTCACGATCGGGGAGCTTGGCTTGGTGGGCTTAGGGTTGGGGTTTGGGGTTAGGGTTTAAGTTTAGGGGTCTATAGTGATTTCGGGATTTGTGGTTTGAGTTGATGATGGGTGCGAATGGCTTTCATGGGGTCTGATAAGGCATCGTATAAGCTTCCGTATGAAATTTACAACGTCTCTTATAGGTTTTCACATTGCTCAGTTATGTTTTTCTGTTTCCTTTACTCGGTTGTCTGAAGGTGTTCCTAAACCCTAAACACTGAACCTTAAGCCCCAAACCCCAACGGGCTCGGGCTTCGCCAATAGAGGGTACGTTGTCCGACGGAAACCTGCATAAAGCGTGGGTTTGAGGCTTTTCTAAACACCACAAAACCTGATCCCCGAACCCTGAACCCCTGTGGCAACGGCTTAGGCTTTAGGAAACTTAGAACCCAAGAAAGTTCTCTGGCCAAAAACACAAAACTATGGGTTTTTGGCTTCATCCTCAACCCACAGACGCCTTCAGACCCTGACATCCGGCTGATGATAAAAATCCTGCATTACCCATACTAAGGACATATACCATAATTCCCATAGTTTAGGGCCTTATAACCTAGAGGGTCCATGTACACTACAATGATGGAACTAGGCCCCCAAAACCATAATGGGGAGGGTCTCTCAGAGCCTAATTCCATAATAGTAGTGTATATGCACCCTCTGACAAATAATTACCCACACTAGTTTCTGGGGGTTCCGTATTATAAATAGAGTAAAATGCACCCCAAAACCATAATTCCCAGAGTTTAGGGTCCTTAGGGTATTGCAGGATTTAGATCATCAACCGTCCGGAGATCCCAGGCCCAAAAGCAAAGAGGGTTTAGGGTTTTAGGGGGTATAGGGTATAGGGTTTAGGGTTTATAGGGCTTAGGGCTTAGGGTTTAGGGTTTAGGGTTCAGGGTTCAGGGTTTAGGGTTTAGGGTTTAGTTTAGGATTTAGGGTTTAGGGTTTAAGGTCTAGAGTTTAGGGTTTAGGGCTTAGGGTTTTGGGCTTTTGATTTAAGGTTTAGGGTTTAGGGTTTAAGGTCTAGGGTTTAGGGCGTAGGGTTTAGGGTTTAGGGTGCCCGACGCCGCTCCGAAGAGACGATGACGACGGGAACGTCCAAGTTCAACGCCTGCGGGCACAGAAGCTCTGCTAAGTCAGTGGTCTCATTCTTAACCCAGAGGGTCCATATACACTACTGTGGATGGACAATATCCTGCATGACCCAATATAGGGAATAGACCGTAATTCCCATAGATTCTTAACCCACCTGTGGATCCAAAAACCTACCGTTTTAAGGGTCAGACCCTCTAATTAAGGGGTCATAACCTACTATTTTATAGGGTTTGGGGCTACAGGCAGAGGGTCCATATACACTACCATTATGGAATTAGGTACCGAAAGACAATGCCTATTCTGGTTTTGGGGCCCTCATTCCACAGTGGTAGTGTATATGGACCCTCTGAGATTCTTTAGTTTTCAACCCTCGGAAACCTGAAGCCTCCCCCCCCACCAATCTGCCATAGTTCCCTCATAGGACGCTTAAAGGGAGCCTAGCAAAGTGATTGTAGGAACGTTACGGAGCTCCTACAAGACACTTATAGACGTAGAGCCCTTAAAAAGACGTACTCGTACTTCTAGGACACCAGTGAATCTAATAAACCCCTCAGCAGCCGCACGAACGGCTCCGTAGCTGGGATGAAGGAGATGGGGGCCAAAAACAGGTCTCTTTAGAACGGATCCTTAGTCCCACCTACCCAAATCTTCCAATATCCGCTCAAGGAAGATACCGAATACTCCCGAATCATGCCTGACCTGCTTTTTTGAGGCATATTCCTGAATGACAGGATTTTTGGAAGGATCCCCTCAACCCTAAACCCTAAAGAACTAATACCCTAAAGCCTGATAGCTCTAAAGCCGTAAACCACTTTAGCACCCTTCACCCCAGAGGCCCCTTGGTACTGGGTTAGTATTATTAGGGAGACCCCTTAAAGGGAACCCTACTTCTGGCTCTCTTAAAAGGGACCTTATTGAGAGGGTCTATATCCCCAAGGGTCCCCCCAATCCTAACTCCCATGGCCTCGTAGTTAAAAGTGCTGGCCACGCTTTCGGCCTTCGCCTCATGTCTGTACAAAATTCTGTTTAAGGGTTAGGAGGTTGAGGGTTTAGGGTTTAACTTTGGGGTTTAGGGTCTATGGAAAGGGGTTTCTTTCAGGAGTTCCTCTAAGTTCGGTTGAAGGGTTCCTTAAAGCATTCAAGTCGGGGTTTAGGGTGTGGGGCTTGGTTGTGTTTAAGGGCTCCTTTGAAGAATTCCGTTTAACACTTCCGTTTGAGTCTCCTTTTTGGGTTTTGCTTACGTGTTCTTTCTGGGGTACTGCAGGAAACTTGGAAGGGGTAGGGTTTCTAGAAGAGGTTTACAAAGTCAGGGTTTCACGGGGCTCTGCACTTGTATGATGTGAGAAAAGCCTTGTACGGGCTTCATGCGAGTTTTGTAAACTTGTCTAGTTCAACGTCGAGATATATACACTTTCAAAGTTCTTCGGCGGGTTGCATAGGGCGTTTGTAAGGTTCTATACCGGTTGAGGGTTTCAGGTTCTGGGTGCAAATTGAGGGGTTTGGGACCAATCGCTGGGAACTTGCCGAGCGCATGCATCCTCCGAAAACTATGCAACACTGCCAAAAGCATCATTGGTTGCCCTGCGGTTGATGATATAAATCCTGCATTACCCATTTAATAAGGAATATACCATAATTCCCACAGTTTACGCTCCTTAAGGCAATGCAGGATGTAGATCATCCACCGTGTGCAACACTGCCAAAAGCATCATTCGCTGCCCTAATAAACACGTTGCAATTTCACCCTCCTCGCAGAATCCTAAAGTCTATGCACTAAATCCTACAAACCCTCAACCCTATTTCACCCGCCTCGCAAAATCCTAAAGTCTATGCACTAAATCCTACGAACCCTCAACCCTATTTCACCCGCGCAAAATCCTAAAGTCTATGCACTAAATCCTACGAACCCTCAACCCTAAACCCTAAACCTACAGACCCCCTACAGCTCTGGGCCTCGCATGAAAATCGCTTCCAAACACTGAGCATCTGAACCCAGAGAAAACCTAAACACTCAAAGTCTAGACCTTGGGTACGGCCCCCCATACAGTAACAGTCTATATTAGGGCTACTATGAAGGGCCTTATATATATCTATATTATGAATATTATCCGACTGCTACTGAGTGGGGGCCGTACCCAATCTATACCACATTAGCCTAAACTCCTAAATGCTGCTACCCTAAACCCGAAATCCTAAGCCCTAATTAAATCCTAGACCATCCTATACCCTTAGAACTCATACCCTAAGGGTCCAAAGGACCTACTAATCAGGTACTTGGGTTTAGGGTAGTAGTTTCGTAGGTTACCATTTCGGAGGGTATATGATTATTGGGTACTTGGACCCTGAGGGATACCCTTATAACTCATAAGTCCATCCAAAGTTCGGTGACCTGTACGACTCGACTAAGCTCCTGGTGTATGTAAAACGAGAGCATGCCCCTAAGCAGGGTTTAGGGTTTAGGGGTTGAGGGTTTAGTGTTTAGGGTTTAGGGCGAACAACGATGCTTTCGCACGAGCAGACACGAGCAGAAACACACGACTCACTCTAGATCCCCAGCTGAACCACGTCAACAACCAGATGACACCAGTCTGTGGTTCCTCATTGTGAAACCGTTTCATGATTTACTACCTCTACGCAAAAGCAGTGAAAAGCCTTAAACCCTTGTAAAACTCCTAAACCTGACCTACCTAAACACCTAAACCCTTAAAGCCCTTAGGCCCTTAACCCTGAAACCCCTTAATCCCTGGACCCTAAAGCCTGTAAAACCTAGACAAAACCCAAACCCTAAACCCTACATAAATCCTTCAAAACCTAAACCCTAAACCCTACCCTAAATAAACCCTAAACCCTAAAGCCTACCCTAAATAAACCCTAAACCCTAAAGCCTACCCTAAATAAACCCTAAACCCTAAAGACTACACCCTAAAACCCTAAAACCCTAAAGCCCCCGAAGCCGAACTCTTCTGAAAACCGCCTGGCCTCGCCCTCCGTGTCTGAGGAAGGCGGACCAAAAGAGGCCTTTGCAACAGAAGGGTTTAGGGTTTAGGGTTTAGGGTTTAGGGTTTCGGGTTTAGGGTTTCGGGTTTAAGGTTTAGGGTTTAGGGCTTAGGGTTTCGGGTTTAGAGTTTAGGGTTTAGGGTTTCGGGTTTAGGGTTTCGGGTTTAGGGTTTAGAGTTTAGGGTTTTGTTTTAAAGAACCTTTTTCCGTCTGCATATCTGTCTCTGCCTACGGAAGACCATTTGGTCAGGCGAGCACTGAACACTCCTCAAACTTGGGACTCGAAACCACAGGGTTTAGGGTTTAGGGTTTGAGAAGCTGCCATGAAGGGTTCCTTTAAAGGGTACTAGGGTCTAGGGTTTTTTAGTGTGTAGTGACTTTTCAGTCTGCCCGAAGTCGGCTTACACACCAAAGACATCCACTGTGCTTCAGCTTCTGTCAAAAGAGCCCACTCTCAGGTCTTAGGTTTTGGAGTTTGAGAAGCTGTCATGAAGGGTTCCTTTAAATGGTACTAGGGTTCTAGGGTTTAGGGTTAAGGATTCCTTTCAAGCGTACGAGAGTTTAGGGTTCAGGATTCCTGTGCAGGGTTCCTTTAAGGGATCGTTTGAAGGGTACTGTAAGGGATCCTTGAAGGGTTCCTTAACCTATTCCTCTAAAGGATCCCTTAAAGGAACCCTTATAATGCCCCTATAGAACCCTGAAAACATACCTTTAAAAGAAACGAGGGTTGTATCATAGTGCTCCCTTACAGGAACACTTATGGATCCGGTTAATGCAACCCTTATAGAACATTTAAGGGTGGGATTTTGGGGTTTGTTTAGGGCTTAGGGCTTCAGGCCTCAAAGGATTAAAAGGAACCCTAAACCTTGGGTCCTGCCCCCATACAGTAACAGTCTATAAGAGGGCTCCTATTAAGGGCTGTATATACCTATATTAAAAACACTCTATTCAACTGTTACGGAGTGGGGGGGCAGTATTCAAGCTGAAGCCTAAGCGGAGGGAGCCTTTTAAAGGAACGCGTAAGGCCTACCATTCTAGAATGGTGTTTGCATACTACGCTTCCCTAAAGGTTTGTACAGGGTTCTCTCGATATCGATTAATGCCTTCTTGAGGACCAACGCAAACTGTGAACGCACGAAACCCGAATAGGAGCATTGGCCTAAATCGATGCCTTGCAAACGCCCCATAACACCTGGCAGAAACCTACGGCATGCCGAACACCTCGCAACCGGAGGTGTAGAAACTAGGGTATAACCCTAAACCCTACCCCTGCACTCTAAACCCGCAACCGTGCAATCTAAACCCTCAAACTTCGACGTTCAAAACTGTTAAACCCTGAACCCTCAACCCTAAACCCAAGCCCTAGATAGGCTGCAAGGTAGGGGAAGTCTGGCACACTGCCGCCCACCTCTGTCGAGATTCGACTCATCGTGCTCCTCGCCGGAGGTGCGGCTTTGGGCGTAAGGAGCTTTCGGTGGTTTTAGGAGTTTAGGGGTTAGGGCTTCTTTGGGCTTTAACAAGCTTTCGGGTGTTTTTTGGGGGTTTATGGTCTTAGTAACAGTGCTTACACGACGGCTTTACTGAAGGGTTGAAGTTTCGCTTTGTATCGGAGCTGCAAGGCTTTTGCGTTTAGGGGGTCGGGCTTCAGGCGCTTCGTATAGGCTCTGCGAGGGTGTAGAATTGAGGGTCTAGGGCTTTGCAATGCTTTGGGCGTTAGGGGCTGTGTATCGCGACTAAACGACGTGTACTGCAAGGCTTTATTATAGGGACCCTTTAGGGGGGGTTAGGGGAGAGCGGGGTAGGGGACTATGCTTCCTTAAATAAGCCTTATTGGGTGCTCAGTATGGGCATTAATTAAGGCCCCCTACCCCACCCCTCCCACTACCCCCGCGAAGGGTCCCTATGAGTTTAAGTGTTGATTCGAGCCTGCATGGCTCAGGGAATGCTTCTGTCTTAACCGCCCGAATCAAGCATGATTGCTAGTTTCTGCTTTGGCTTGCTTCTTTGTATGTCATTTATTTGTTTCTGTATGTACCTTTTAAGTATTTACAGTATGAAGCAAAATTGCAACCCTAGCCCTAGTCCAAAACCTACAATCCGTCTCCGAAGCCCTCAATCTTAAACCCTAAAGCCCCCAAACCCTAAACGTCAAGGGCTTAAGGCTTATGAGGCTCACAAGACTTGTGGAATTAACGATCGCTAGAACATGTTGTAAGGGTTCCTACGGGCAAAAACCCTGCACTACCTCAAATGCTCGAAACTAAAGACGTTACTGCGTAGCACTCGTCAGCACTTACGGTTGACAATGCGGGATATGGCCTGACTGCAAACCCCAAACCCCGTCAACGACGCCCCAGAACCCCCACAAGACCCCGTGGAACGTTTTGAAAGACCTTACGAAAGCCTCTTGAACAGCCCAACGTAATCCTTACAAAACCCTAAGACAAATCCTGCACAAACCTGCATCAGAACCGGGTTTAGGGTTTAATTTAGGGTTTACAAAATGAAGATGCCTTCAAACAATTTCCCCAACGATTGCTGCGTTGGCCTCGCGGCCGTTTTGGCATCGCACTCCGACGGCGAAGACTCCGTCGACGCTTCGCCGCCGGCCTGCGGGCGTGCATCCGGGGTTCTGTTGCTTTACCTGGACCCAAAAGAACCTACCTTTTTAGGGGTATAAGTCCTGTTTAAGGTCGGTTAAGGGTAAAGGTAAGGCTTAAGGCTTTCGGAAAGTTAGGCTTTAGGGCTTAGGAATATGGGATGTAAGGGCTAAAATCAAGGGGTTGGGGATTTACGAGGATGGTTCTTGACATCGTTTATGAAGTCTCCAAGATTTAGGAACTGGAATAAACTCAGACTCCGGCAGTGTCTGGCGCACTGCCATACTACTTTCGGTACTTCGAAAAATCGTCTATGCGGATTGATGGGCGCAACACAGCGTGTTGTGGGGGTTAACGCTTAATTACGAAGACCATTTGGAGTTAACTCTAGTCAGGACTGAGAAGTTGTGTGGGTCCTCCACCAGCCGCAACATGTAAAGGGGAAGCATGGAGCGCCAGGGTCACCAGGAAGTGATGTGTAGGAGCACCCAACCACGTAGTCGCTCACCCTGTGGAAGGCTGAGACAGGTAGAACGATGAAGGTGTCCTCAGAGACACCATCTTCACGCTGCTGCATCGACATGTCGTAGAGACTTGGCTTGAGATCACGAGATGCACTTCTGAGAGGTGCAACAGTCTGTGACAGACTCTCAGCGGTGCCAACACTGACAACGCTGTCACGCCATGTAATTAGCAGAGACTTCAGCGACATGGCCAGACCGCACCGAGTTCACAGTGAAGTCACTGGTCTTGCGCTTGTGTCCAAGCTCTTGTACATGCATGACCTTGAGGCGATCACCACCTTTCAGCTTGCGCTGACCAACGCGCAGCACATGGTCGACAGACTTCAACTCGTTGCTGCTTTCCTGGTAGGCAGTACCACCACTGCAGGCTTCAGAAGCTTGCAGTGTGGCTGTTCTTGCAGCACATGTCATGAGAGTACGAAGGCCGATGCGTCTGTGGTTCTCCCTGCTCTGAGTCATGCCAAGCTTCTTCAAGGTGTTGAGATGCTTGGCTCCTGCCAAGTGGGTGTTGAGGTTGCTCACTTCCTTGAAGATGCGTTTAGGGGTTTAGTGTTTAGGGTTTAGGGGTTTAGGGGTTGGGGGAATTCGGGCTTACGGTGCTAAAATTAAAATAAACGGCCTGAACACTCCTCATCGTTACTCTAGTCATTGCTCCTCAAACTTAGAGTTCAACTCAAATGGGGAATATGTATCTAGGTATATGTACATATGTGTCAGTCAGAAAGGCTCGAAGGCTTAAAGCTCCAGAAACTTTTGCAAGCCCTTGTTTAAAGCAAGGAAGGAAATAGCAAAGGCACCCTAATTTAATTCTCAAAGCTCCCGTACGTCTTCAAAGACAATAATCTGACCCGCACAAGTTCAGGGCCAAAGATTGAAGTTTCGGGTTCGAGGTTTAGGTGGGCTCGAAGATCACATGTGGTATGGATTGAAGAAACGAACGTTCCTCGCAGTCATTCTTGTCGGTCTCGCTTCAAGATAGCCCGGGGCTTGACTCCCTCCACTTTATTATTATTTCTTGCACGAAGCCCTGCATTGGCTTATGTACCCCCGATCTATGAGAAATGCCACAACTTTCCTCCGTACGGATGCTCCAGCCGTTGATCCTAAGCTCTGATAGTGTAGGAACCTGATTAAGAAACCTCGGGCCTTCACTAGGGCTCCTTATATGAATCCTACTGTTTGGGGGTTATAGGCCGCCCAGGGTTTCTTAATCCGGTTATTACATTATTGCAGTACCCTCATAGATCCCTTATAACAACCCTTATAGACCACCTTTAAAGGAACCCTAATTGAGGCCCAGGGTTTCTTAAGCAGGTTCCTATGTTATTGTAATACCCTTCTAGATCCCGACAAGAACGAACCCTTATTCGACCCCTTTAAAGGAACCGTTGTCAAGGCCCAGTGCTTCGTAATCAGGTGCCTACATTGCATACTACACCCAAGCTGCCTCCGCTCCCCGAAGTCAAAACCCATGGGGTGCTCTGTCTGGCTCTTAGAAAGGAATGAGGCAATGGATTATGGGGACTACCATTGGGGATTATCTAGGGACTACTATACCCGTAGGCCCCATAGAAGTTCCTGTTGGGGGGGGGTTCATTGTAGAATCCTATAGGGTAATCCCAAAAAAGGAACTACTATGGGGCCTATGGGTAAGGATCCATTCCCTCATTCCCTACTATGAACCAGACAGCCTACTAAGAACCCTAAACCCCGATAGTATAAAACTTATAGTAACCCTTCAAAAGAACCCTTTAAAGGAACCCTATGGGGCCTATGGGTAGTTTTGGGGATTATATGGGTGTTTCCGAAAATAGGGGTACCTTATTTTGGGGTCCTCATAATAAGGATCCTACTATTGAGACTATATTAGGGTCCCCCATTTTCGGGAACTCCCTAAACCCTAATCCCTCAACCCTCTATAGAAGTATAGGGCCCTTATGGATCCCTTTAAGGAACCCTTTAAACAGGAACCCTGGGGTCCCCTATTTTCGGGAACTCCCATATAGACCCTTCATAAGAATCCTTTAAAGGAACCCTAAACCCTAAACCCTAGCCCTGGACCCTTTATAAGAACCCTTTATATAAAGGAACCCTTTAAAGGAACGCCAACCCAAACCCCCGGACTGCCTCTTCCTTCAGCTTTGCCTGGGTAGGGGTTCTCGCTGGTTCTGGCTTGAAGGTTTTAGGGTTTCGGGTTTAGGGTTTCGGGTCTAGGGTTTAGGGTTTCGGGTTTAGGGTTTCGGGTTTAGGGTTGCAGGTTCTTTCGGTGAGTTTTCTGGTCGCCGATCCTCTTGCTCCCAATTCTCCCAATCCTTCCAGGACTTGTCCTTGCCCCGTGATGACGGCGACCAAGATCCCCGCCAGTAGGAAACCTTGCCGTTGCCTCGTCCATGTTGCCATCCTTTGGGGGCCATGGAATGGCCGTGATGAGCTTGTAGTAGGAGGAGGTCCCGTGAGGATGGAGTCTTGCCCGGAGGGCCAGTCGCCGTCTCTTGACGGCGCGACAACGACGTGCACGCGCACGTCGATGCTAGTTCGGGCTCCTCGGATGGATGCCTATGGCTGTCGCAAGGCAAAAGGGACGCGCTCCTGTGGCGCTGGGGCTACGGCAATCTCACGCTGAGTGTTCTCGAGCCCTGAGTAAGTAGGTAGTAACTAGACTTATAAGTACCCGAAAAGGGACTCTAATTGGGGTTATGGTACTTATAAATCCCAAAAAACAACCAGTTGCTAAGTCCCCCGACCCTCCAAGTAGTCGGTCGACCCTCAGCTCTGGCTTAGGCATTCCAACCGATGACGCATGTGCGCCAAAAAGTTTAGGGTTTAGGGTCTAGGGGTTTAGGGGTTTAGGGTTTAGGGGTTTAGGGTTTAGGGTTTGGGGGTTTAGGGGTTTAGGGTGCTCTCGTAGCCCCGGACATGGTCCGGAAAAACGACGGGTCACAGCGAAGACGTCACAGCAATGAGCACTGCTCCGTCAAGACCCTGGCGATATTTCCTCTTCTTGGCTGGCGGCCTACATACAACCAACAGGGCGACTGCTCCCGACGACGAAAGTCAGACAGGCCTTTTCCTGCCACACTTTGGCCTCCTGGATTGCCTCCTGCATTTCGCCACAAGCAAAGGGCTCAGGCAAGGCGAGGAAGGTTGGGGTTGGCTCAGGGTTGTTTCACGCAGCACGTGTCTTTCCACGCAGAACACAAGTTTGCAGGACGTACTCCTAAACCCTAAATTTTGGGCCTGGGGTTTAGGGTTTAGGGTACATGTACCTATATGGTGCACTACTTCGGCCTTGAAGGGTGAAAATGGTGTCCTGCACTCTTCTGGGCATAAGAGATTGACGCCAACAAGGGGATCTTTAAACTTAGGGTTTATGGAGGTTTAGGGTTCCTTTAGGGGTACCTTTAGATTGAAGCCGATATGGGGCTTAAGATTTGGGGGTTCGGGTCTGGGGCTTCGGGGCTTGGTGGTTCAAGGATATACCGTGCTCCCAACTCTTACACTGCTACCAAGCCTCCGTAAAACCAAAAACTTATTGCTCCAATAAACTTTCCGAGTCCCATTAAACTACAAGAACCCAAAAACTTTTAAAGGTTGGGTATTGGGGATCTACGTAATAACCCCCCAAAACTGGAGACCCCGAGCCTGAAACGAATCCGAAACCCCTGAAATCAGCCGCAAAAACCTACAAATCCCTAGAGGCACCAAAGGAGTTCCTTTTTGGGATTACCTTATAGGATTCTATATATGAACCCCAAAAAGGAACTACTTTGGAGCCTTAGGGTAGAGGCACCCTAAATCCCGAACTGAAACTGCGACGACCCTGAAATCAACCGCAAACCCAAAAACCCTTGAATCCTAAATGGAAGCTACGACAACCCCTAAAGGTAGCCGTTAAAAAAACTGAAACAACAATTTCAGGAAAGCTTAACCACTGAAACTACGACAACCCCTAAAGGTAGCCGTTAAACAAAGCTGAAACAACCCGTTCGCGAAAGCTAAACCGATTTGCAAGGGCAACAACACTGAATGGAACCCTGAAGCGATGCACAAAAACCCGAAAAGGAACCCTAAAAACTTCTAGACGGTATTAACCCTAAGCCTTAAACAAGCTCTAAAACTAAACCCTAAACACACCCCAAACCCAATACCCTGGACCCTAAACTAAACCCTAAAAACAAACCCTAAACACACCCAAAACCCGATACCCTGGACCCTAAACAAACCCTTGGGGGTTTGGGAGACTCGGAGAAGTCTTAGCCAAAGAGCCAGCGTCTCCTTGTCCTCGCCCTGGGTCGAGGGGTTGACGTATTTGGGGTTTGCCTTAAACCCCGAATAACCTACTTACCTTTCCCTAGGGCTCCAAGAACTCATATATTAAGGCTTTTGGGCCCAAAGACCATAGGATATAAGGCTTTTGGGCTATGTTGATGCACAGGGCTTTAAGGTTCCGTTTTATGATTTCCTTACACAGGTCCTTAACACGGCAGTTCTTCGGGGGTACAGTGGGGGTTTAGGGTCAGGCTACGTACTGGGCCCGGCGAACAAGCTCGATAGATGGCTCTACAGCTCTATCATAAGGTGGCAAAGCCAGAAAGTCCCCTGAAGCCTAAACTGTCGCAAGGAAGCCATAAATATAGTAGTTTCTTTTGGGATTACCCTATAGGATTCTAAACAAAGCCCCCACAAAAGGAACTACTATGGGGCCTATGGGTCGTGGGGCTGGGATTTGCAAGGGCTTCCGTCGGAGAGTCATTTTTCGGAGGCCTCAGAAAGGTGGGATGAAGATAGTTGGGATATTCCCAAATAAGAGTCCTTATATAAGGGATCCTTAATCCTACCTACCTTCATCGCACCCTTTGCGGCCTCCAACCCCTAAATCCCAAACCCCTAAATCCAAACCCTAAACCCTAGATCCTAAACCCCAAAGTCCTAAAGTCCTAAACCCTAAACCTCCCACCTTTTGAGGCCTCCGAATTTTCAAGGCTGTGCAAGCGCGAAAGGCGAGGCTGAGGGCTTAGGGTGTGGGCCTATTTGGGAGCTTCCGAAAATTAGGGGTCCCTTAAAAGGGATCCTTTAAGGGTTCCTTAAAGGGATCTATGAGGGTTCTATAAAGGGTTTAGGGCTGAGAGTTTCCGAAGGTTAGGGGTAACCTTATTTTGGGGTCCCTATAATAAGGATCCTACTATTTAGGGTACCATATGAGGGTCCCCTATTTTCGGAAACTCCCTTTTTGGTTTAGGCTTTAGCAGCTTAGCGTTTGCCAAACCTTAAACTTACCTCTGGTTACTTGGAGGGTCGGGGGACTTAGTAACTGGTTGTTTTAGGGACTTATAAGTACCATAACCCCAATTAGGGTCCCTTTTAGGGTACTTATAAGTCTAGTTACTACCTACTTACTAAGTACCCCGACCCTCCAAGTAGTAGGGAATGGAAGAATGGTAGTAATAGTAGCTATAATTGTACCCCATTCCACCATTCCCTACTAACCAGAGGTAAGTAAGCCCAAACCAGAGCGGCACAGCACAGACGAGGCAACCGAAGGCTGGACACGCAACCGACGCCTTGTGGCCCGTTTAGCCTTTCGATCCAAGATCAGGGCTTCGTCGAACCCTCGTTTAGGGCTTATTTAGGGTTCACCTTAAGGCTCCTGGACCCTTGTAGTGAGATCCCGAACCCTAGCCCCCAAAGCCGAAACCCTCCCCCAGAAAGCCCAAGACCCTCTTTGGAGCCTTAGGGCAGGGTCTTAGTCAACCCTCAATCGCTGAACACGACATTGTATGCTTTGGCCTACTGCGATCAAGCCCCAGGTGAGTCTTTCTGGCGTCTACGACTCTCGCAAACTCCAGGAACCCTGTACTCATACACCCTGGACCCCTTGAGGGAACCCCAACACCCTAAACCTAGACAAGACAACACGAAAAGTTTTTTGCGCCTCCAGGAGGGCCGTGAAGTCCATCGAAGGATTCGCCGAGAGCTGGGGCGTTTAGGGCTTGGGTATTTGGGGGTTTCCTTAGGGGGCTTAGGGTTCTTTAGGGTTTAGCTTTAGCGGCTTAGGGTTTAGGGTTCTGTTCGGGTCCTATTGATAAGGGTGCCGCCTCACTTTGGGGTTCCTGCCGGGACATATGACCAGACTAAGGTATTGAGGGTCGTAGTTATCTTAACGTTCAAGAGCAATTCCGAAGGGTCCAAGTACTCCATTTTATGGTGCTTTTTTGGTTCTATTTTGGGGTACCCAAGCCATAACCAAAGGACTATGTGGACCCTTGAAGAATATATACAATCATCGCAGACCGCAGAGAAGCCCGTACAAAGCCTTTATACAACCCCATAACACCGTCACAATCCCTTATCAAACTCGTCTGGGATCCGGTTGCTGTCTTCAGGTTCAGTGGTACCCGAACCCCTAACTCCCAAAAGCCCGAAACCCTAGAACCCCACACCTGAGCTTTAGAGGTTTCGGGCCTGAGGGTTTACCCTGAGGGTCCTAACACTTTAGGGAACCTCAACATGTAGGATTTCTGAGACACCCTAAACCCTAAACCCTAAACCCTAAACCCAAAATGTAGGATTTCTGAGACCCCAAAGAGACCCAAGGGCTCTCCCTGAAAGATTTCGGACCCTCTTCAGGAGATACTTGGACCCTTAGGGGTAGGGCTTAAAGGGGTTCAGGTTGTTCAGAGCTTCGCGCGCTGTCGGGCTGGCGTCTACTTTAAGATGTAGGGCTTGACGTCATGAAAACATATGAGAGCTTCCGAAAATCGGGGGGGGGTACTTATACGAAGGATCCTGCTATTTAGGGTACTATATTAGGGTGCCCTATTGTCGGAACCCCCCACATGAGCCTGTCAAACAGCTTTCGACCCTGACCCTACGCCTAACCCCTCAATCTAAAGTCAACCTGGACCCAGAAGAACCTACCTTTTTAGGGTGCCCTGATATGACTTCCTTATATAATAAGTCCTTAAGAAGGTAGGTTATTCCGGGTGAAGGTAACCCCTAAACCTACACAGAAGTTTAGGGTGACGGATCAAAAATTCTGACTCTCAGGTTGAAACTCGCAGCAGTATACGGCAGAGGCTCTACAATCCCCTACACACCCAGCAGCTCAGCAGAATCCGACCACTAAACCCTAAACCACCCTAAACCTTTTGGGCTCCGTGACTTGCAGTTGGGGCTTGATGGACTGAAGCCCCAAACCCAACATGAAAGTCTCAACAGCTTCGACCTCTTAGCCCGCTCTAGGGTCTCATGATATGAGGTACTGCAAAAGATACCATTATAGTCAAGTAGAGTAAATAATGAAGTACAGTAGAAGTCATGATAGAGTATAGTAGTGTGTATATATGTATAGTCAAGTCGCATATCAAATCTAGTTTAAGTAGAACATATATATGTATATGTATATCTAAGATATGGTAGAACATATTGTACCACAGTATAACAGACAAGAATCAAATATCAGAAAGTAGAATATACTCTAGTATTGCAAAACATGGTGATATTTAGTAGAATATACCATACTGGAGAAGAACAGAATAGAATAGAATGGAATAGGATAGGTTAGGTCAGAACAGAACCGAATGGAATAAAATGGAATATGATACAACACAGTACAAAACAGAACAGAATGGACCAGAAAAGTATGTGTATGTGTATATATATCTATATACATACGAGATACGGTATAGTTAACTAAACCGTCATACTATAGTAGAATATGTAATATGGTATAGTAGATTACATGATACAGTATAGCAGATCTTTTGGTATAGTAGAATAGGAAATGTAGTAAAGTAGAATGTATAACATAATGCAGTAGTACGAATAACACAGTGTAGTAGCACCTATGGTAAGAGTTACAAATCTCAAGCAAACCGCACGAGCCCGAGACTTTGTGTGCCGGTGTTGCGGAAGCACATAAGCCTCTCTAAGCCCTGAATCAGGAATTACGGTTCAGCCATAAGCCATCCGCGCGTTCAAATTCCGTCGAAAACCCCCAGCCCGAAACCTGTAAAACTCTTCGCCCCCTCCCGAAACCCCAGAGACAAAATCCTATACTCAAACCTCTACACCCCCTAGACTTAAACTATCCCAAACCCATAACGCCAAAGAAAACCCTAACCTCTACCTAAAGCCTAATTAGGGAAAAGACCTAAACCTGTAACCCAAAACCCTCCTGTGGATCCAAAACCCTACCGTTTTAAGGGTCAGATCCTCTAATCAAGGGGTCATAACCCACTATTCTAGTAGGATTTGGAACTACAGGCATAATCGGGCCTTCACGTGCGCCATGGCTCCCAACCGCTTCGCTTCTCGCCTTTCTTCTTCGCGCGGGGAGGTCTTCGGAGCCCAAAAAATGCTGCGAACCGGCGAGAGATGAGGGTTCCCGAATGGAGGGTGCCTTTAAAGGGATCTATAGGGTTCCCTTAAAGGGATCTATAGGGGTTTAGGGTTCATTTAAAGGGATACTTACCTTTGGTTAGTAGGGAATGGAGGAATGGGGGACAACTATTACTACCATTCTTCCATTCCCGATTTCATGGGTTCCCGAACTCGTAAGGCTTCCATTTAAGGGTTCCTTTAAGGGGATCTGCAACTTTTAAGGGTTCCTTTAAAGAGATCTGAGACTTTTAAGGGATCCTTGAAGGGATCTGTCGGGTGTAGGGCCAAGGACCGTAAGGCTTTCTTATGGTTTTGGATAGTGGTTCTTCTACTGAACTTAGAACCCTAGCAAAAAGTGTAATTTTAGCTGTTTCTTAGGGATTATAATAACCAAAAGTTAAAAATTATTTCTAAGTACCCCTAAGTTTAGGAGATTAGGTCGTAAGGCTTCTTGGGGTTTAGGGCTTAGGGCTTAGGGTTTTAGTAAGGCTTCTTAGAGTTTGGGGCTTACGGTTTAGGGTTTTGGTGCTTAGGGTTTAGGGGTTAAGGGTTTCGCGCTTAGGGAGATTAATTAGGTCGTAGGGCTTCATCGGTTTCCTGATGGTTTATTACGGATATTGCGGGTGGTCCCTTGACAGACGGGGGCTTCTAGTATCTAGAAACGCTGCTTTCAGTGGTTTCGGTTTGAAGTTGTATGACTTGCAGAGAAACCGCTTAAACCCATTGTGCAAAAACCAACTTAAACCCAATTTAAGACCCTAAACCCTAAACCTTAAACCCTACGCCCCCAAACCCATAGATCCCTTAAAGGAGCCCTCAAAGGAACCCCTTAAAGGATCCCTACACCCTAGACCCCCCGGCTTGGGCTTTCCAGCGTCTTTCTGTAGCCCCAAGCTGTTGAGGACTCCCCCTGCAGCCAGAAGATGCCCTCTCCGTTGTCGCGTTATGTAGGGTTTAGGGCGTAGGGCTCCTTTAAAGGGCTCCTTTAAGGGATCTATAGGTTTCGGGGTGTATGGTTTAGGGTTTAGGGTTGAGGAGCCTATAGGGGTTAGGTTTAGGATTTAGGAGCTTAGGGTTTGCTTATAGTGTCCACTGTAGTTCCTTTTGGGGGTTACCTTATAGGATCCTAAATATAGAACTGGTTAAACCCAGAAAAAGCGGCTACGATGGAGAATATAGGTAATGCCCTGTTACATGCACGGGCTTTTGTTGGTAGAGTCAGCCGAAGGAACCTGTATGAATCAGTTTTACGGCTAGGATCCAACAAGCTAGGCAACCAACGCAACTCTGACGGACACGATTGCCCAACCTTCAAACCGAGGAGGGTTTAGGGTTTAGGGTTTAGGGATGCAAGGCAGCCTTGTTTCTCCGACTCCGTCCAAGCATGGATCATGGGCAAGTCCCAAGAGGACCCGCCGATATCCGCACATGCATTCCTGAATTGCTCGTAAATCGCAGGGATACATATAACCCCAACACCTATAAACCTAGGATGCCACGTAACCTAGGAATAAAAAGGGCTCCCTTTTTGGTATTAGGTAACTAACTTTATAAGGAACCCAGGACTACGAGAAGGGAATAAGGGTACTACTGGGCATCCTGTAAACTCACCGGATCAGATCGAAACCCCTAGCCTAAATCATGACTAAACCCTAAACCCTAAACCCTAAACCTAAATCATGACCAAACCTCCCCGAGGAGCGACCCCAAGGTTTCACAGCCGCGAATTCATGGAGGCCCCCTCTGCGTTGCAACGAATCTATACTGAACTTAGAACCCTAGCAAACTTTATAATTTTAGCTGTTTCTTAGGGATTATAATAACCAAACATTAAACAGAATTTCTAAGTACCCCTAAGTGACTTGGAGTTCACAAGATCATCCGTTTGCTCGGCTTCCCTAAGGGTCCAAGTATCCAAATTGTAGGGTTTCAAAGGCCCAACCGATGTTGGGGGGACCTGAAGCCCTACCATGTGGGTACTTCGGTTCATAGTGTAAATCTTGCATTACCCATAATGAGGAATCTACAATAATTCCCATACTCTAGGGTCATTAAGGTAATGCAGGATTAATATCATCAACGCTTATCCTTACGACCTGTGCAGCACGCATGCCCCCTTACACCCTCAAACAATGAGTTTGCAGGTAACCAAAGTTCGCGGCCAATAAAATGTGCAAGGGAGAACATGGCCAAGAGCTTCACACAGAATTTCACACCGCCCCTAAACCCGAAACCTAAGTCTTGAACGCTGAACCCCAAGAACCCCTAACCCCCAAACTACAATAAGAATACGGAATAACAACTTAGCACGTCGATTCCTGAACCCTGAAACCGACAAGTCAAACCCTATATAGACCCTAAACCTTGAACACTGAACCCCAACCCTAAACCCTAAACCCCTAACCCTAAACCCTAAGCTCCTAAAGCCCCAAGCCTTAAAACCTAAGCCTAACCCCTGAACCCGAACCCTTCCTTCCCTGACGCTTCTCAGTCCATCGGCCCTTGGCCGGAGCTCACCGGAGAGATCCGCTTGTGCCGCTAGCTGATCTTCTTTGCCTAGAAGGGTTTGTGGTTTAGGGTTGTAGCAGGACCCTGCCAAGGGCCCTTGAATGGAGTCCTTATGGCCCTCAATAATGGGTATGTTAGAGGGTTCTTGGGGTCTAGGTAATAAGGATCCTACTACTTAGGGTTTTAGATTACTAGGATACCCAGTAACCTAAGAATAAAAAGGCCTCTCTTTTTGGTATTGGGTAACTTTATAAGGCACCTAGGACTACAAAAAGGGAATAAGGGTATTACTGGAGATCCTAGATTAGGGTCCCCTGTTTTTGGAAATCCTCAGTTTCAGACCTCTATACTACGCCTCCACTGTCCCCCGGCCACGGGAACCGAGTCAAAGGAAATGCGCCGATGGCGAAATGCTCCCGACTGTACAAGGGAGCTTCCACTAGTGACTAAGCTAAGGTGGTCCGAAAGGGCGTGCGAGCCTCGAACCTCCTAAACCTAAACTCTAAACCCAACTCCCTAATCCCTGAATTCTAAACCGAACTCCATAAACCCTGAACTCTAAAATCCTAGACTTCTAGACTCCAAACCCAACTCCTAATCCCTGAGCTCAAACCCCAACTCCTTAAACCAAACTCTAAATCCTGAATCCTAGTCCGTAACCTACACTGAACCTAGAACCCTAGAAAAAAATTACAAGTTTAGCTGTTTCTTAGGGATTATAATAACCAAAAACTAAAAATTATTTCTAAGCACCCCTAAGTAACTTGCACGCAGCCCCGGACCGTCTCCCGATCAGAGTTGGGGAAACGGGTGAAACAGCCCTCGACCCGAAGGCAACGGCTTTACGCACTAAGGGAAAGGCCTCACGTTCTTGGGGTTTAGGGCTTTTTGTGTAGGGCTTTACCTTCTTAGTAGGCTCACAGCTTCCGGCTTGCATGGGTTGTAGTTTAGCGCTTTCTAGTCGTTCATTTTCGGCTTTGTGCTTATGGCTGGGATAAGGTTCTAGGATTTAGGGTATACTTGGAGGATCATGGGACTTAGTAAGTAAGGTTATAAGTACCTTAATGGGGGTTATAACTGGTTATAAGTATAGTTACCCTAATTATAACCCTAGTTACTAAGTCGCATGATCCTTTAAGTAGGGTTCTTGGCTCTGCCTGGGAGGCCAAAAACTTACTCCTCGCAGGGCTATACCGCATAACTAAGGGGTCATCACTTACCATTGCGTGGCGTTCGAGGCAATGCTACAGGCGAGCTTACGGCTTCTACGGCTCAGGCTTTAGGGTCTTTGTAGTTTATGGGGTTGGCGTCGCGGGGAGGTTTAGGGTTTTGCGGCTCGCCATGCTGATGCTTGATTCTATGGTGGTTGTAACATTGACAAATACTAACTACATATCCTACAACACAGCATCCGATAGTGGCCTTGGTCTAGGTTTGTGCTTTAAGGGTTCTTTGTTTTAAGGGATCCAGAAGGATTCTAGCAGGCTTTTTGTTTAAACGTGAAACCTTTCGCCAAGGAATGCCCACCCTTATCGGGCCTGCTCCACAAGGGTTTAGGGTTCAGGCTTGGGGCTCTTGATGTTTCCAGATGTTCCAATATTTATATACCCGAATTATAAGCAGAATACTTTAAACCATACTTGGAACCCAACAACTTTTTAACTTCAGGTGATTTCCTTGAATATAGAACTTGCTAGACACATACATAAGCCCTGACAGACCCCGTAGAACCCGTCGATAAGCGTACAGAAGTACCTCAAGCCGCCGTGACCGCGATGGCACACCTCTAGATTATGTGAGTTCCGGGGGAACCCAACTGAAGCGACATGTTGGGGGGCTGCAATATTGCTTAGAATCAAGCCGGTGTGTTGAACCGAGGTCTTTCCCGTCTCTAGAGCAGTGAGCCTATGGCAGCGGGATTCTGCACGCAGCTGCGGTGCACAGGTTCGGAGCCGTTCAGCTAGAAGCACTGCCGGAACAATGTGGGAGAAGCCCTTCGTTTCGGAATAGACTTCACGCCTCATCATGAATACTTAAAGGATCATTGGACTTATTAACTAGGGTTATAATTAGGGTAACTTTACTTATAACTATTTATAACGCCAATTAAGGTACTTATAACCTTGCTTACTAAGTCCCACGATCCTTCCAGTAGTTGTATGCCGAGCTCTGATCAAGGTAGCTGATGAGATATGACAATCACCCTAAACCCTGATACAACAGTCACGACGCCCATTTAATGCTATCGTAACAACCATGTGAACACTAATATGAGAACCTGCAACAAAGGTGTGGAACGAAAAATTCTTCTTACGATTCGATTCATTCCTGGTCCCGGCGCTCTCTAGTTCGCAAGCATCGCGAATTCATGCAGAATTGAGGAGCTCCTAGGTGAGCTGGAAAAACACAGTCTGAGGTCTTAGTGCAGGGGTTTAGGGTTTTGGGGGTGTCACCTTTCTGGGATTTGCGGGGGGAATTAGGGTCTGAGGCTTCAAAACCCTAAGGGTCCATGTACCTAAATAGTATATACATTGGCCTTAAAGTACTCCCTATATGGGTACATTGCGCCTAAAGTATATACTATTTGGGCACATGGAGCCTCAGGGAAAGGCTTTGGCATACTGATTTGGGGGCTTGGACTCCCAGAGTGCATTTAGGCAGCACTTAATTGGGGATCCCAGAACTCTACGGTTTTTGAAGTTTCTAGCCTCTAGTTAAAGGGTCATAACCTACTAGTTTGTAGGGTTTGGGTCCTAACCTTCCATTTTGCAAAAGAGCTTCAGGCTTCGAGGAAGCTGTTCCAGCTGTGTAAAGGCTCTGTGCTGGCAGAATATTACGGGCCTCGATCATTAGAATTATCGGTTTCTCGGGCATATGAAAGTAGACTAGATCTATCATCCGCAACCCAAGGAACAGTGTGATAAATATTCGACCCCTGAAGCCTGAACCCTAAATCTAAAAAATCCTAACCCTAAACCCTAAGCCCTACAAACCCCTCGCCCCTGGCTCCTGAACCCTTCACCCCAAAGCCCCTGTTTTTAAATTCAAGCGACCCTTAACCCTAACTCCCTAAACCCTAAAACCCCTGGTGTTAATGTAACATCTTTAGAACGATCCTCGGAGTAGTCTACGGAGCTCCCAGGAGGGATTGGCGAATCTCCCAGTGGCCATCGCTGAGAGCTCAGCGCGAAGCCGGCACCTGGCTGTCTGGTTCTTAGTAGGGAATGGGGTTCCTGTAAAGGTTCTTTTAAAAGGTTACAATAAGGGTCATACTATGGGGGATTAGGATTCTTAGTAGGCTGTCTGGTTCTTAGTAGGGAATGCGGGAATGGATCCTTACCCATAGGCCCCATAGTAGCTCCTTCTTGGGATTACCTTGTAGGAGTCTACCTCTGAACCCCAAAAAGGAACTACTACGGGGCCTATGCGTATAGTAGTCCCTATATACTCCCTACTGGTATCCCTATTCCCTACCAAGAGCCAGACACCTGGTGGAGAGGAGTGCTTTTTGAGGTTAAAGGGCCCAGGGATCAAGGAATCAGGAGAATACCATGCGAGAACCTTCGAATTTAGAATAATACATTTTTGGGTATGTGAATTCAGTTTTACGGGCTTAGGGCCTAGGTATTAAGGATGAACCACTAGAGTATGATACAGGGGCTTTAATCATAAAAATATATATTATTCTGCAGGCCTCTACATTCGTGCGTGTTGGGTTCAAGGGGCTTAGTGGTCAAGGCTTCAGTCGTTGGGACTCTTCGAAGTTGTGTGGTCTCAGAGGTTTTGGGTTTTAGAGGAACAGGGCAGTTTAATAAAAGTTTAGGGTTTCGGGATTGGGGTTTTAAGGGGCACTTATAGTATATGGGGACTGTGGTTTAAGGCTTGAGACAAGGGTGTAGGGTCATGTTGGGGGTTGTTGGTTTGGGGTTGAGGGCTTGGAGTTTGGGGTTTGCTTATTTGGGTTTGGGGTTTGGATTCGGGCTCAGGATTTAAATGATCCTCGCATTAAATCTATGTAGCTGGGATTTCACACGATGTGCACATGAAGGTGCCTTCTTCCACGAAAAGTCGGAAAGCACATCCGGTTTAAATCCTAAACTCTAAGAACCTAAAACCTAAACCCTGCACTAACTGCATCAGGGTGCTGCTGAAGAAGCGAGGCTAAGCTAAGGTCCTGCACGCTCAAACCCCACATCCCAATTATAACCTTCCTAGAACTGAAACCTGTACTAACACTTAAAACACTTGGAAAATGTACCATAAAACAGCACCGACTGCCAGAGAGCCCATGAAAACGCAACCCTAAACCCGAAACCCCAAACCCTAAACCCTAAACAAAGCCTTGACTCAAAGGTCCTTAACCTAAAACCCTTGCACCCTATGCAAAACCGAGAACCGGCGCCCAGGTTCCCCGGTAACACCTAAGTACTACGTAGAGCCTCAAAGGAGACCTACACCAGAGGGTCCATATATACTCCGATTATGGAATTAGGGTCCAAAACCATAATGGTATCGTCTTTCGGTACCTAATTCCACCATGGTAGCCCTATGGGTACCAGAGTGCCTCATGCTTCGCCCAAGAGTTTGGCTTTGGTGGCAATGAGCTCATCGCGGCGTGCGTTCTCGTCCTGCGAGAACGAAATGCAGGTTCACCGGGTGAGGTTGAAGGTTGGGGTTCTGTGTTTTAGGGCTTACTTGGAAGGGCAGGGGACTTAGTAAGTCGTTTATAAGTAGGGTCATAATTGGGGTAACTCCATTTGGGGTACTTATAACTCTACTTATAACCTACTTACTAAGTCCCCTGCCCCTCCAAGTAGGCTGTATACGATCTAGACTCCGATTGAGATGAGAGGGCTTTCGGATGAAGAGTTTAGGCGTGAAGTTCCCTCAACTCAACCCTCAATCCTAAAGCCTAAACCCTCAACCCCTAAACCCTCAACCTTTAATCAACCCTGCACCATGAACCCTCATACCGTAAATCCTGCAGGATCTAGGGCTCAAAGCGATCAGAGGCTAGGGCTTTGGAGCGCAGGAGGTGCGCGCGGCACCCGTCCCACCGACATGGGTGGTTGTCAAAGTCATGGTCCCTTTTTGGGTCCCGATTCTGACCTATCAGCTTGACGGTATTTTAAGGGAATACTGTGGCAGTTACGGGTAACGGAGAATTCTTCTCATTGAATATATCTCTTTGAACTGATTCTTGAGGCTCCCTATAAAAAAGCACCGAAAATGCTGGATGCCCAAAATGGGGCCATAATTGTTTCAACTTAGCGGCCTGATCAACTAGGAAAGAGTTTTGCGGGGTACATTCTTGCATAAACATGAGGAACCCCAATACATACCGAAACATATACTTACTGACCAGATAACAGAAGGTTGCAGTACGGCATAGGTCGAAATAATTTGTTAACGACATCCCATGACACATTATCTTGATAAATACACTGTAACATCTAGATATCCCCTTATATAGTCTCTTTATCACATTATACACTATCTTGATAAGTACACTATAACATCTAGATATCCTCTTATATAGTCTCTTTATCACTACGTACAAAGTTCCACATGCCCAAACTCTGGTCTTATTCCTAAGGCCCCCGGGACGCCTCTGCGCCAACAAGGACCTGACCCCAGACCTTGTGCTCCGTCGTCTTCCTCGCACAGAAGTTGGGGCTTTGCGCAGTGTACGATTCTGGGGCTGGGGGAGTTGAGGAGGCTTTGGGATTTATGCTTGAAGGTTTTGGTGTTAGGGGTTGTGGGCTCTTAGCTTGGGCTGTTGGGGTTTTTCAGCTAAGAAGGTGTACAGTACCAGGATAAAGGCTTGTCAGGTGCTACTGGGCGCTGGGGTTATCTCACATCAGCTGGTGAGAATACACATCAATGCCGACAGACGCTGGTTTAGGGAGAATACACATCAGCGGGAAATTTACACATCAGAATTACCTAAACCCCATGTAGAAGCTGGTTTCAAGAAGCACGCAGCAGGTAGGCCAAAGTGCGGGATTTGTTGCGGACGCTGAGGTATATACTACATTTGGAAGCATTCCAAGATAAGAAAGCAGTGCGTTTGCCAAGTAGACGCTGGGATTTGAACGTGGCATGCTACTAGTATAAGACTGAGAGGATGCCTGAACCCGCCACGGAAGCATGAAAAGCAACCCTGAAAAATGGGTGGTGAGTAGGTCGCTATATTATAGTCCTACGCGAGTCCCGCGTGACCCTGCGCGAGTCCTGTGCGACGCAGATGTGAGCAGAAGACTCTTTGGGCTTCAAAAACCGACAGGCACAGACCGCACCAGTGCATATGTATGCAGATGTCTAATACATAAGCTGCAATACACAAGCACACACTAGTGCGAAGATGAGCGCGCACAAGCCCACTGACACTGACAAATGCGAGAGCGTGCTGCGGACGCCGAAGAATATGAAGGTGAAGATACAGAGCTTGATAAGATGATATAACGTTTATAGTGCGTTCCCCGAAGTAGACGCCTTGCAGATGCGTAAAACACCCAGGTGATACGAGATAGCCCCGGGACCAAGTAGAATGCACGGATTCGGGGTTTGGAGCTTCAGAATTTGCGGTTTCCAGATTTCTTCCATCTCGATTCGACGGCTTTGTGGATAGGCGTATACCTTGTACCCTGAAATCCTGAACCCTAAACCCTAAACCCTAAACCCTGAACCCCCCCGAACCCTCAACGTTTACAGCTTGGGGTCGCCAAGATGGTGGGGATCGAAGGGTTTTCAGGCGGTTTAAGGTTTAGGGTTTAGGGTTTAGGGTTTAGGGTTTTCAGGCGGTTTAGGGTTTAGGGTTTAGGGTTTGGGGATCGAAGGGTGTGCAGGCTGGCTTGGAGTTGAGGAGCAAGGACTGTCTGGTGCTTAGTACGGGATGAATCCCTATGGTGGTCCCTATATAACCCCCAACAATAGTCCCCATAATCCCCTAAACCCTAAAACCCTATACCCTGAAACCCTAAACCCTAAAACCCTAAAACCCTAAACCCGAAAACCCTAAAACCCTAAAGTCCCCATAACCCTACTAAGCACCAGGGAGATGAGTTTGCATCGGAGTGGGATCGCGACACCCGCATACCCGTGGACTTAATTCAGAGTGTAGACGTGCCTGCCTGCACATGGACACTGATGTTCTCCTGCGTGTATACATATATATATATATATATATATATACACACAAATACATATACATATACATATATTTATACTTGTATATATATATATATATATACACACATATAACCTTACCTATACCTATACGTATACGTATATACATGCACGAAAGCTTATATGTAGACGTACCTACATACATACCTACATAATTACATACATATATGCATGCATGCATGCATAGAGACAGAACTGAACCCCAAGCTATTGCTTGCGCATAGGGTCCAGGGTTTGACTTTCAGCCTGCCATCCCTAACAAGGGTTGAAGGCTCAGGGCTTCAATGCTGCAGGGCTTTAGGGTTAAGTGTTTGCAGTTTTAGGGTTTAGGGTTTCGGGTTCAGGGTTTAGGGCTTCGGGTTCAGATATCGATTCGGGATTTAGGGTAAGGAGGCCAAATCTCTGGAGCAAGCCACTTCTGCGAACGGCCGTCGTCTGCCTTGATTTCGACGGCACCTGCGCATGAAAGGCAAGAACTCTTCCCTACCCTTCGCCCGAATCCTGCAACCCAACACAAAGGCCCCCCTAACCACGCTCCAAGGCAAGCAAATGAAATCGGGCTGTTTTGACTGGAGTTTGGTATCCCCATGAAACCACCTAACAAAGACATTCATCAATTTTCGCAAGGAGCTCTATGGACACTCGCCGAAGTCACGAACAAAACTCGAACTTCACATATATTAAGACTAAGGTGTTTGGCTTGTGGCACAGCGTGCAGCTGCACGCATGTGATTACTGGACATTGAGGACACAGCTTGCCAGCAAGCTGATCCTCCCACGTTCCGGTGACGTAAACCCGAAACCCAAAGCGAAAGCCCAAACCCTAATCTCTAGCCGTCGCGACCTTGTAAGAACGCATGTTTTTGAAAGGCTCTCACTGTCGCGCCGTTGTAACATTAAAACTTAAATTCAAGTAAGCCCCGAAATCCAGAAGCCCAAAATCCCGCCTCGGCCGCCCAGCTCCATTTCTTCCTCTTCGTTGCAGACCACCATGTCGCCATCCTCGGGGGTTTAGTCCAGGTTTAGGGTTTGGGGGGTAAGGACTTAGGGTTTAGGGGGTAGGGTTTAAGGAGGTTTTGTCCGGGTTTAGTGTTTGGGGTTTAGGGTTCAAGGTTTAGGGTCGACTTGACCTTTAACTTTTCGTAACATGAAGCTTAAGACGGCAGGGCCTTCCTCTTCTGCCGAGAAGAATGATGCAGAGGCCAAAAAGCGCTCTGGGTACCCCTGATATCGAGATGTGAAACAGGAAAAGCCGACTTGGAACCGTTGCTTCAGGGTTCAATGGTCTTCGAATCAAGGCTCTGGGCACTAAGCTGAACACTAAACCCCCATGGCCCATATCCCCTGGCCGTAAACCCTCATTGAACCGCACCTATCTTCATCACACCCTGGAGCCCTTTCATGCTAGGACTCCATTTCGTCGACGACGTCGACGCGGATGGTCTCGCGCCACTCCCACCTGGCTCTGCCCCAAAGGAGGTTTCAGTAGGAGTTCGCGTTCATCCTTGAAACGGCGACCCGTTTGGGGACACAGTTTGTTTGCAGTCGCAGCATACATGTTTTCTGATGGGCTCACGGCGTTTGAGTTTAGGGGGGGGTAGGGTTTCGGGTGATTTGGTTTGCGGTTTAAGGTTTCGGCAACGACCCCTCGTGACACCAAGTCGTCAATGCAACAGTACACACAGAGAGACCCCTGAATGGAAACATCTACAGATCCCTTCTTCACCAGATCCCCCAAATCCGAAGGCCCTAAATCCAAACGAAACCCCGCAAGCCGCCAGCCCTTCGATCCCCCCAAAAGGTCCCCTAAATCCGAAAGCCACGGAACCTCAAATCCCCAAAACCCCAGGTCCTCTGATCGCAAAAACTCCACCGCCCCCCGCCCCCCCGATTCCTTGCAGGGTTGGAACCTTGAATCCCTAAACCCTAAACCTAACTAGTTCATTGTTGGGATAGGATTAAAAATGTACATGTTAATTCCTTATTGGGTTTAAGTACCCATAAGTAAAATGTTACCCAACAGTGACAAAGCTAAATTGAAGCCTAAACCCCAAGCCCCTAAGCCCCAACAAGCCTAGATTTCCGAAGCCCCCCCGTCTCCCTCCAAATGGCTTCCCTGTCCCCTTTGCAGAGCCTCTCTTTAAAGAAACCCTGTAGACCCCTTACAGTAACCCTATACTTCATAGACCCTAAACAAACCCCTACAGTACCCTCATGGATCCCTTAAGGGCATCCTAAACCCTAAGCCCCCCCCCCCGCCCCCTTATAGATCCCCTAAACGAACCCCAAACCCTAAGCCCTTAAAGGAACCCTAAACCCTCAATCCCTTATAGACCCAAAACCCAGGGCCTCTCTTTCTGGCGGATGGCCGCCTCGAGCTCACGGATCTCCACGTCGATGCGAAGCAGGGCCTCAGGCTGCAGAAGGGGGGATCCTTTTTTCAGGGTTCCTTTAAAAGGACTCTTTAAGGGTCCTATTGGGCTCCTTTAAAGGGATCCCTGGAGTTTAGGGTTTAGGGCTTTGGGTTTGAAGGGTAAGGCCTCGAGCAGCAGACGGGGGGGATCTTTTCTTCGAGGGGCTCTATAGGGCTCCTGAAAAAGGGCCCCTTGCAGAGATCCTTTAACGGATCCTCTTAAGGGAGGCTTTAGGGTTTGAGGTTTGAAGGGAGTTTGGTGATTCCTTTTAAGCGCTTCCTTAAGGATCTGTAGAGGTCCTTTAAGGGGCATAAGCGAGTCAGGGTTCCAAGGGTTTTGGTGGATTTGGGCGGGCTTCACGGATTTCGGATTGCGGGGTTTAGGGCTCCGGTAAAAGTGTCTATAGGTTTCCTTTCATTGCTCTATAGGGCCCCTTTAAGAGATCCTTTAAGGGTTCTGTAGGGGTGCTATAAGGGTTCCTTTCAGGGCTCCCTTAAGTCTAAGGATTCTATACAGGATTCAGGGTTTAGGGTTTAGGGGTTTACGGATCTATACGGGGTTCAAGGGATTGAGGGCTTCAGGGTTTTGGCAGAAGTAAGGCTCCTTCGCAGGCTCCTTTAAGGGATCCTGTACGGGCTCTACAGACTATACGGGTTCCTTTACGGGATCTTCAAGGGTCTTTCAAGAGTCTAAAGGGTTTTTAGGGTTTAGGTTTTCGGGTTCCTGCAAGCGTTCCTTTCAGGGATATATTGGGGTTCTGTGAAGGATTAAGTTAAGTGAAAGGCTTTAGCAGGTTTTCGGATAACTAGGTTTTAGAGTTTGACAGTTTAGTGACCTATTTAGGGTAATTGGGGTCTCAGGGTGTTAGGGTTCGTGAACCCACAAACTCTTTGTTGCAGCGCTTCGGGCTTCCAGAACCCAAGACACCCTAAACTTGAACCCCGAAGCCCTCGGCCGCTCAAGTTCTAAATCCTACTGTTGAGGCCGTAATAATTTGAGTAGGGTCTTGGGGTATGTTCCACTATAATGATACTAAGGAACCCCCAAAATAGTATAATTAGGTAATTATTTAAGCCCCTGAGTACATCCGCCGCAGCCCGGTACCTCCTTGACCGCAGCGCCGTCCTCCTTGGAAGTGTCTTTGGACCGCCTCAAAGCGCTTCGGTTTAGGGTCTAGGGTTGATTCGGATTTGTGACTTTTAGGACTACGGCTGATGATGTAAGTCCTGGGGTTCCTTTAAAGGGATGTAGAAGGGTACCTTTGAGGGGTTCCTTTAAGGGATCTATACGGTTTTAGGTTTTTGTTTAATCGCCCCTTTTCCTTTAAACTAAACGGTCGGAGATGCCTAGGTAGACAGGACACTCATGCATGGCAGCCAGGACCCGCAGCTTACGGCTTGTCCAATCCCTCACCGACCAGCCAACACTGATCAACAACACGTGCACATCCTGCAACACATGTTCCATCGCCGTGATAGGCTGCTGCAAGTCGCTCAAGGCCAGGTCACATTGCCCGATTCTTCACGTAAAAGGGCGGGGAGTGTATTCAAACAGCACCCCTTCGGGTGTAGCTAACCTTACAGGGATTTAGTCTTAAGGCTTAGGGTTGATGAACCCTAGACTATGGGAATTACGGTATATTCCGTAGTAAGGGTCATGCAGGACTGGGACTTGTAACATCAACCGTAATTCTAAACATCCCTAAACCCCAAAACCTTGAGCCCTAATTTCTAAACCTGGGCTGCATGAGGCTTGTAAAGCTTGCAAGCTTCCGCTTTTGGGGTTTGTGAGGGCCGACGCCGCGGGGAGTTGTGGAATGGCTGCAAAATCTTAAGCGGTTTAGGGTTTAGGGTTTGGGGTTTAGGGTTTGGGGTTTAGGGTTTGGGGTTTAGGGTTTAGGGTTTAGGGTTTAGGGTTTAGGGTTTGGGGTTTAGGGTTTAGGGTTTATGGCAGAGACGTCTAAATCGCAGACAAAAGGCGATAGGCACAGTAGATTCCACTGAGGATGATGACAGGAGTCACCACAAACCAACGACGAAAAATGAAGCACAGCTGCGTATCAACGGTAGCACAAACCGCAACTACAACGACACTGCTGAACACAACACGGCACCGAAACATGAGCCTTTCAATTTTCTATCCCCTGGCTAAACCTAACACTCAACCCCTGTAGCCCTAAATCCGAAAACCATAATTACGCTCCAGACCCTGACACCCCCAAGCTTAAACCCTGAAACTCGAAACCCAAAAAGTCAAAAATCCCACACCCCTAAACCCAACACCCTAAACCATAAAACCTAACTGATAAACCCGAAAACCGTAGGCCCAGAAAGCTTGGCTCTGACTTTAGGAGTGGGAGCTAGCCTTGCTCCTGCAGGTGTAGATGAGGAAGCAATAGGAGTAGCCGAGACTTCTGCAATCTCTGCAACTTCTGGAGGAAGTGTTTCTGGAGCGGTATCCTCCGGAAACGGATTGCTTCTCGGTGCCTGTACACCAAACGCACGAACACTTCCGTCCGGCCTGTGGAATGGAATATCCAAGTAGGTAAGATAAAGGCCGGGGTTGCTGGCTTCCGACTCTGCGAACACAAAGCGCTGCCACGCTTCTCGTTTTCTGCGAGCACTTCGTCCTGCACGAGAGCCTCGCTCTTGCTCTTTAGGCAGAGGGCGTGGCAAACGCTCCGGATTCCTATCCGGATTCACATCCATTGCCAAGCGCGCAGAAACACTACTTTACTTGAAGAAGCGTTACGGCTAAGCAGATACGGCTGATAACCTCTCAAGGAACCCTTAAAGGAGCCTTTAAAAGGATCCCTTAAAGGATCCTTTCAAAGGAACCCCAGGATCCTTTTAATAAAGGAACCCCAGGACCTCTGGGGTTCCCTTAAGGGATCCCTTAAAGGAGCCCTATGGTTCCCTTAAAGATCCCTTTAAGGGTTCCTTGGAAGATCCCGTAAAGGACTCCCTCTTTTGGAGGCCCAAGAAGCTCGTGCTCCACGGCCGAACAAAGCTCACCGAAGCGGAGGCTCTGCACCGTCTCCTGCTTTTGGGGGGGTTTAGGGCTTAGGGGTTTAGGGTTTGGGGTTTAGCGCCGCTTTTTAAAGAGGGTTTGCTTGGAGGTTCATGGGCAGTTAGAAGCGGAGTTATAAGTAGGGTGACTATAGTACTATCGTATATTAGGGGGCTTATAACTCCACGTATAACTACCCATGATCCTTCAAGTAGGGTTCAAGGTTGGGGTTCCTTTTTCAGGGGTCGAAGCTCCTGCTTTGGGGGTGGAGCACTATAGTGTAGGGTTTAGGGTTGAGGGTTCCTTTTGCAGGAGGGTTTTTAGGGTTCATGATTGGGGTTTAGGCGTGAGGTTGAGGGTGCTTTTGGAGTGCTATAAAAAAATTGCTTTTGGGGCTTGGGGGTTTAGGGTTTAGGGAAAGCTCTGTTTCTGGGGTTTGGGGTTCAGGGTTCGTTTTGAAGGAGGGTTTAGGGTTCCTTTTAAGGGCGGGTCTGGGGTTTATGATTTAGAGGGTTTAGGGTTTAGGGTTTGTCTTTAAGAAGTGTCATTTTGGAGTTTCGGGTTTAGGGGTAGGGTTTAGGGTGCTTTAAAGGCTTTCTTGGAGTTTAGGGTTGAGGCTTTAGGGGATGTATCGGGTTCAGGGTCAGGGCGTAGGTCTTAGGATTTCCGGTTTGGGGAGATGGGGACCTAAATTTAAGGATGCTCCAAAATGAAGGTTTGGGGGAAGAATCTCATGTCGTAATGGCTTTATGCGTGTTGGGGGGCTTCGAAGGGGGCTACTATTAAAGTCCTAATATATCTATATTATGAATATTATTCAACTATTACTGAGTGGGGGCCGTACCCATTGGATGGGCTTTATGAGGTGTTCTTTGGGTTTCTATAGGAATCTGTGGGGGCTGTTGTCGGCCTTTTTTCCGTACTTCATAAGGGCCTTCTTGGCAGTCCTGCCTGTGGATGTTTCAGATTGAACCAATAACCCCCAAGCCCTACCCTATTCCAGAACACCTACAATCCGGGGAACTGTAAAGCAGCAAAACCAAAACAACTGCATTGAAACCCTTACAAACCTAGCACCTATGAACCGCGGCCTTTAGAACTAGTCTGCAACAAGTCCTTTATAAAACCCTCCACAAATGACCCTGTAGAAGGACCCGTAACACTCAAAGCCACAAAGAAACAAAACACCCTAAACCCTAAACCGTACAAACTCTGAGAGGCCTCGGCATGCGGGTTCTCTGGAGCGCAGCCTGCACAGAAGGCTCTTAAAGGGTGACTTCCTTTAAGGACTACCCTATAGGTGCGTTTGGTGTCCTGATTTCTTTTTGGGCCGCTTTAGAATTTAGAATTTAGGAGTTTAGTGTTGTTTGGCTTAGGGCTTAGGCTTTAGGGGATTTAGGGTTTGGGGGGTTTAGGGTATAGGTCCCTTCGATTTTGCGATTGCCGGTTCAGGGCTTCAAGAAGAAGGCTAGGCTGTGAGAGGTTCCAAGCTCCGCAAACGGGTTCCGCTTTACATGTGAACACAAAGGCCTTACGGTTCAGAGCTCTAGGGTTCAGGGTGTAGGGCTGACTGAAATCCGCCAAAAAAGGACACCCACTTTTTGTGAGACCATGTAGGGAATCAGTGCATGTAGGGCTGCCGGCGTGTCGTTTTCAGCAGCCTCGACATCAAGACGGTTTCGCTGCTAGCTACTATCGGGGCCGGCAACAATTGGAATAAGAATTTGGGGGTTTCGTATGCTACTATGAGAACCTGGGCCCTGAGGAACCTACCTTTTTAGGGTTCCCTCATATGATTTCTTTACTAGGCGGTGCTTTTCAAGCTTTTGAAGAATATTAGTAAAAAAGATCCTCTTAAGCCCAATAAGCGAAAATATAAAATGTCCCAAAGCCCTACCTAGTTTATATAAGTCGATCCTTAAAAAGGTAGGTTACGTGGGGTTAAGGAAAGACTTACCAAAACCCCCCCACCTGTAGCAGGCCATGGTTCGACAGACTTTTGAAGGTCCAGGCTAGGCCGAAGGAAGTGTATTGCCAGCTGCTCTGGTTTTCGCGTTATTTGTGGCAGAAACCAGAAAGTTGGAACATTCTGAGATTCTGACCCTCATGCCCTTAAAGTATAGTGTCGGGGATCCTAGCACTAATCATCCTGAATCCATATTCCAACTCGCTGTAAGGGCCGAAGAATCTAGAGGCCCCAAATCTGGAAGGAGCCAGTCAAGCGGCAGACCACCACCGACGTGCACGATTCTCCGGAGAGGGCTGGCTGGAGCAGCAGCGTCCTTGGGTGTACTTGGAGGTTCATGGGTAGTTATAAGTGGAGTTATATGCAGGGTAACTATACTTATAACCCTTATTAGGGGACTTATAAACCCACTTATAACTACTGTACACATGAATCTCCAAGTAGGGATGTAAAGTCTAGGGCTGCGGATTCAAAAGCTTCAGCCAGGCGCCATCCTAGGCTTCTTCAGGCTATTTTTGGAACCCTCCTAACTCCGAAAGCCCCAAACCCTCCCCGCAGAGAGCTCATGACCCCTTTAGGAGCCTACGGGTTCGGGTTTAGGGTTTAGGGGTCCTAGAGCCTTAGGCCACGAAGCTTCAAGCATGCTGACTGCATCCCCAAAGGGTCCTAGGTACTGTTATGGGGGATACTTCCCCAAATCATAACTGTAATTCCTAATATAGAAGCCCTACATTCTACCATACACGTACTTTGGATCCTTTGGGACCGTCAATCCAACCAAAAGCCACATCGAACAGGCTAAACAGAACCCTTCGAACGTTCCCCCGCCAAACCCCGCGATCCCTGCCAAATCTTGGAAACAGACGCTGCAAACAGCACCCTAAACCCTGAACAGGTAAGCTCCAAACTTAAAAACCCCCAAACCCAAACCCTAAATTCCACACCCTGAGCCCCAAACCGTAATCCAGAACTCCCCAAAAAAACCCTATCATAAACCCGACAAAACCTTGTCCCAGACCCTGAGCCTCAACTCGCCCACGGCACAATTCCAAACCCTAAACCCTAATCCAAACCCCCCCCAAAAAGCCCTTATAAGCCCCTTATCCCAAACCCTAAGCCTTAAACTGTCCTAAATTCTACACCCTAAGCCCCAAACCCTTATGATTTCTTTATATAAGTCCTTAAAAAGGTAGGTGACGTTTGGTTAAGGTAAGCCTAAACTCGCCCACGGCACAATTTGGAGTCGTTGAATGGCACCCGGGGCAGGGGCCGCCCGGCAGCGGCACAGCGGGGCCTGCAGGACGGTTAAGGGTAAAGGGTTTAGGGTTTAAGGTTTGGGGTTTAGGGGCTTAGGGTTTAGGGTTATAGGGGTTGCGGGTTTAAGGTTTGGGGTTTGGGGGTTTAGGGGTTTAGGGTTTAGGGTTGAGCGTTTAGGGTTTAGGGTTTGGGGTTTAGCGTTGCTATTGGGGCCCATAACAGTCAGAACCGGGATCTTCTTTGTCAGTCTTGTGAAGGGTTCCTTTAAACGGTTTCTGGGGGGAAGGCTACTACTACCACAAAGACTGAAAGTTCTTTTGGCATGGCCGCCTTGGTAAGGAATCCTTAAAACGGTTTCTGGGAAGGTTACTACTCTCAGTTTTTCTTTAGTATGGGGGGCCTTAGTAAGTAGAAGCGGATTTTGCGGAACATCATAGTAACAGTATGCGGAGGAACCCTGGAAAATGGTGCTGGCAATCGTTCAGACGTCTACATTGCTTAGGGTCAGGGTTCAAAGGCTCAGCGTTTGTGAGCTTAGCGTTCAGAGATCACGGGCGAAGGTTCAAGGTTCATACGGGTTTGGGGATTTGTGGTCCGGACTTGAAACACCATCAATTGGGGGGCATAAGGGGCTACGACTACAGCCACTGTCTTCAAGGGTTGCTATAAAGGCTACGGTATCAAAAGAGTTTAAGGTTTAGGAGGTGGAGGGTGCTATTACTCAGGGGTCTACAGCTACACATTCAAAACTTTACTTCTCAACTTAAGCTAAGCTCCCCAAACCCTTAACCTGAACCCAGAGACCCATCGTAAACCCGCAACCCGAAACCTCAAACCCTAAACCCCACTGTTCATGGGGCTCCCCCCAACCATCAACTTTGAGGCTGAGCAGGGTTCGGGATTCCTTGTTTAGGGTTTCGCCCAAACAGTGTGAGAAAAACTGCCTTCCATAGGTTACCCCTAGGGTTCAAGGTAAGCCGAGCTATGAGCAAATCAACACCGTATCGGATGCCTATATCCCACTTCCTATATTAGTTGCTGGATCCTTTCACCACCGAAGTCTCAGGGAAACACATCCTCCAAGACTGCCCCCTCTCCCTAAACCCAAAACCCTAAACCCCAAAACCTTGAACCCTAAACCCCAAAACCCTCAAACTCCACAAATCCAGCGCTGCAACTATGTCTTGGCTTCGCCAAATCATTTAGGCACTATATTAGGGTCCCCTTTCTTCGGAAAGTCCCATAAGTATAGAGTTGCGAGCAGCGAACGTTAAATACTTATGGTTGGTCAAGTTACACTATCACTTCGGATCCTAAAACCCTAAAAGCTACACCCTTAAGCCTTAAACCAAGCACGCAACCCTGACTGAAGACCGCGCGAACTCGAAGTTGCATCCAAACTTCAAATCCTATTCCCTATCCACGCTCAAGGCGTTAACCCTAAACCCTGAATTGTGTATTTCTTCTGGTCTACCAAACCCTAAACCCTAAACCCCTAAACCCTAAACCCCTAAACCCTAAACCCTAATGAAATTTAGAGTTTGGGCTTTCAGGGTCTTCGGCTCGGGGAAGAAACCTGAAGGGCCTCTCGTTCAGTGCTTGCACGCAGCGCTTCAGCGTGAGCAGTCCCTCGCAGGAGAGAGGCTGGGGAAAGGAATGAGAGAGAGAGAGAGGGATGGAGAGAGAGAGAGAGAGAGAGAAAGAGAGAGAGAGAGAGAGAAAGAGCGAGAGGGTTATTCTGCCCCTAAACCCTAAATCCTAAACCCGACCTCAAACCCTAAGAAACCCTCTAACCTCTAAACTCAGTCCTTGTTACCTTACTTAACCCTTGACTAACCCAAAACCCCTAAACCCTAAACCCCTAACCCCTAAACCTCTAAACCCGGTCCTTGTTACCTTCTCTAAACCCAAACCCCTAACCCCTAAACCCCAAGACACCCTCTACCCTCGGACTCGGTCCTTGTTGATGTGGTTCGTCTCAGTGATGCGCTCACGGCACTTGTAATACTCCTGCCAGGTCACGCGCGAGACCTCGAGGCCGGCGGAGGGTTTCTTTAAAGGGCTCCCTGAAGGGATCTTAAGGAACGATCTTAAGGGTTCCTTTAATGGGGTCGTTAAGGGTTCCTTTAACGGGCTCCCTTAAGGGATCTTAAGGAACGATCTGTTCCTTTAAAGGGCTTCCCTAAGGGATCTTAAGGGCTCCTTTAAAGGGATCGTTAAAAGTTCCTTTAAAGGCTTCTTTTTAAGGGTTCCTTTAAGGGATCTTAAGGGTTCCTTTAAAGGGCTTGCTTTTGGGATCTTAAGGAAGGATCTGTTCCTTTAAAGGGCTCCCTTAAGGGATCTTAAGGGTTCCTTTAAGGTTCCTTTACGGGATCTGAAGGGTTCCTTCAAGGGATCATTAAGGGTTCCTTCAAGGGATAGTTAAGGGTTCATTTAAAGGCTTCTTTTTAAGGGTTCCTTTAAGGGATCTTAAGGGTTCCTTTAAAGGGATCGTTAAGGGTTCCTTTAAAGGCATCGTTAAGGGTTCCTTTAAAGGGATCGTTAAGGGTTAGATTAAGGGATCGTTAAGGGTTCCTTTAAGGGATCGTTAAGGGTTCCTTTCTTTGAAAGGGCTCCTTTAAAGGGCTCCTTTCAGGGATCTGAAGGGTTCCTTTGAAGGGAGGGATCTATAATGTTTGGGGTTTTTAGGGTTTAGGGCTTAGGTTTTCGGGCTTGGGGTGTGGGGTTTAGGGCTTGCGGTATCTTCTTGAAGGTTCAGGGTTTAGGATGGTTTAAGATTTCTGGAGAAGCTAGACGGGTTTAGATTCTTGCGTTCGGGGCTTCGTTGTTTACAGGCTCTCGGGCTCATGAGCTTGAGGGTCTATGCTTCTCCGCTTGTAGGCTTTGCTATTTCGGAATCTATGGCTCTAGGGCCCTCGCAACCAAACAAGCTTGTGAGATTCGATATGGGAGTTTCCGAAAATTCGGGGTACCTTATTTTGGGGTCCTTATAATAAGGATCCTACTAATTTATAGTACTATTGTAGGGTCTGAAATTTCGGAAACTCCCATATGGCTTTGGGCTTAGGGTTTAGGCGAGCCTCTCGGGTAAGCAAAAACATCATTAATGCTGCTTCCCCCTGACAACACCCCAGCCTGAAACTGAACAGCATTTTAAAAAATGGAGGTGGCTAATTTCGGCCAGTTAGGGCAGAGGGTATGTTTTCCCTTGCATGGTTCGGGCTTTTATGGTTCAGAACTGGGGTGCGCCTCTTCGTCGCCGACGTTGACGCCCCCGGGGCAGCACACGTTCTCATTCGCTTTACTCTTGCTCACCTGATGGGGTCTAGGAACTAATGCTCTAAACCGTGACTACACAGACCCGTTAAACATAGGGCTGAAGGGGTCTCGGAACAATTTAATGCTCTAAGCCCTAGTTATACAGACCCTTGAATCATAGGGATTAAAGAGTTGGGTTCAGGCTTTAGGATTCGCAGTTTAAAGTCAGGGTTCAGACGTTCAAGGTTTAGGGCATAGGCCTCCGGTGATCAAGCATGATGACTGTCGTGTTCGGTGTTCCAATTTGGGACTTGAGGACACAAGAAGCTGGAGGACCCTATCTTGCTAGCTCATGGACGCATACCCTAAGGATCCAAGTAGTCATTACTTATGCTTCCCCAAAGTCCCTCAAAAATGACTACCCGGACCATTAGGGATACGGTTCATGGTTTAGGGTGTGGGCTTTAGGGCTAGTGGCCGTGTTGGGTGGCAGGTTTAGGCTTCGTTGCCTGACTTATTGCACAGCCAGGATCGAAACATGAGTGCGCAAGCAGCCTAAAAGAACTACAAGTAAATCCCAAACCCTCAAACTCCAAAGCCCGTATATAAACTCGAAACCCTAGACCCAAAATCTAACATCCGCAACCTGCAAACATAATCATACGAAGGTGGAATGAAAAATGAAACCCCCTAGAGCGTCCCAAAGCCACAACACTAACATAGGAAACAGTCAGCCCTCAACAAGAAACAACAACAAAGAAAGCTTAAGCCTGAAAGCCTAACAAGCATCCGTTGAACAAACCTACAAAAACTCTGTAAAAAAACAAGCTGCCAAATACCCTTTCCCCTTTACCTCAGAACTGGAAACCTCCATAATCCATAGACGCCGAGTTCAATTATCGGTTCAAGCCAACAAACGTGAAAATGCAAACATGGTCATAGTCCTCAACCCTAAACCTGCGAACCCAAGCCCTGAACCCTCAAAAGAATCTTTAAAGGAACCCGCCTGAAACCACATAAAAACAACAATAAAAATTAATCCCTACAACAACATATGAACACCTTTGTAGACCCCTTCAATCCTAAGAACACACCCACGCATGACACCCTATAAAGCCCTGCCAAACCTTACGAAAACCTTTTCGTAGATACCTTCAAAGGAACCCCCAAGCACACTTCAGCTCCCTAGGATTGTTATCACACTTCTTCTCCCTAGGCTTATCCTGGCCTTCTCGGAACCGCCCAGGTCCGCCAAGCTGAGGAACGACTCCTTCGGCTTCGAAAGGCGGTACTCGGGGGCATGTTTTGATTGGAGCCATTAGGTTTAGTGCTTTGAATTAGGGCTTAGGGGTTAGGGTTTAGAGTTTAGGGTTTTAGAATTTTGGGGTTTAGGGGGTAGGGGTTTCGAGTCTATAGGGACTTACAGATGTTAACGAGGTGAGGTTTAGGTTTGGGGTTTAGGCTTCAGGGACAGAACTACACAACATCGCCACCGAAACTTAAAACCTGCCTTGTTAAGCACAGTATACAGGGAAAGCATAAGAAGGAGCCCTCAAGAGGTGGGAATGCGGCTGTCTAGGGGCTTGTGGAGTTTGAGCTTTGAAGGGCTGGATGGCAAAATTCAGGGCTGCAGACCATGAGATCCCAATACCCCTTAATTAAGGAATCTACCTTAAACCATAATATTAAGTCCCCTGTAGTTTAAGGTTTATACTCCTTAATTAAAGGGTCTTGCTGTGGAAGCCTTTGCTGTTCGGGGTTTTGCGGTTCTGGCCTCGAAGTTAGCATTAGAGGTCGGCATAGGGGGACGGTTTTCGGTTTAAGGTTGGGGTTTAGGGTCTAGGGTTTAGGGTCCTCATATGGGGGTTGTTCTTTACTATGGCTGCAGCCCGTAACTCGAAAATCGCCTTGCGCTTTGCCCTTGTGCGCTTTTGTGTGCACACGGCTATTTTATAGCTATAAGGCAAAAACCCCAACCTGTTCGAGTCACGTCGGCCCCAAGAAAAAGTTCAACCCAGAAGCCAAAAGCCTCTGTGAACCCGTAATTATAGAAATCCCCTGGAGTGAAGCCTTATGGAAACCCTGACAAGCACATGCAGTGACCCCTGCTCTGATTCTCCTAAACCCTGATCCCAAAGCTAACACCCTGAACACTGAACCCACAACCCTGATTGCAAATCTTAAGCCCCACCCCGTCAGATCCCTGAAAGGGAAGTCTTAAAGGAACACGTAAGAAACCCCATAAGACTCTATGAAGCCCATAAACCCTCAACCTCGCGGCCATTCGTTTACATCCTCTCTGCCGAACCCTGCGTAAGACTTAGGATCAGGGGGAATTTGGGGGAATGAGTCCCTTTTAAGAGAGCCAGAAATACCGTAAACACTAAACCCTGAGCCCTAAACCCCAAACCGGCCCAGACCCCTAAACCCTTTGTGGGAGACCCCTAAGACTACCTAATATCGAGTGGAAGAAGGTTCCTTTAATGGGATCTGTAAGGGTTCCTTTAAGTGATCTATAAAGGGTTCTATTAAGGGAGACCCCTAGGACTGCGCTCCACGTGGGTCGTGGTGCCGGGGGCGCGCTGACGGAGGCGGAGGATGACCTAAGTAAGAAGTCTCAGGTTCCTTTAGGGGTTCCCTTCAGGGTTTCCTTTCTAAGGGCTCCTTTAAGGGATAATTGGAGGAATCCTATAAGGGGTCTTTGAGGTCTCAAAGTTTAGGAGTTTAGGGTTGACAAGATTTTCTCCGGGGGTTTAGTTTGGGCTGCAAAGACAAGGGCTCTAATCAGGTTTTCACAGCGCTTTGAAAGGCTTTGCATGGGCTTTGGAAATGGTGTTCATAAGGTGATGACTAGCTTTTCAGGACTTTTCATAGGATTTCAACCGGGTTGTAGTTTCTTTAGAGGTCCGAGAAACGAATAATGATAACGGAACCTTGAATTGTCCATAAATATAAATCTTAGTACGAATATATACACCAAATCCTGGTCTAATTTTTACTCGGGCCAGTGTTCGGGACCTTGGGACTGTCCCTAACGACCCTAAAATCCTGAAGCCCCTAAAACGCAAGCTGAAAACCCTAAACCCCACAACCCCAAAGGCCACAGCCCCGTAGAAGAACCCGTAAAGTACGTTCTTCTTGCTGGAGCCTGCAGTGACGCATTGGCGAAAACACAGGTTTGGTAGTGGACAGCTTAGGGTGTCTTAAGCGTTCGTTTACGGATTCCTGTTCAGGGATCTACAGGGCTTCTCTAGCGGTTTAGAACAGTTTAGAGTTTAGGCTTGGGGGTTTTGGTTGCCTGGGCTTTAAGGTCGTCTGTTTGGTCTTGGAGGTGTTGCGCTTCTGATTTTAAGATTTGGGGGGGATTGAAAACTTCAGGTTTCGGCGTGTAGGGGGGGCTTAGTCTCATGAGCCCAACCCGAAACCCTAAACCCGAAACCCTAAGCCTTTATTAGACCCCAAACCCAAAACCTTAAACCCCAAGCCCTACACCCGAAACCCTGACGCTAAACCCGCAACCCTTGGGATGTTCAGATGCTTACGTGGTAGTCTGGTAGTCGAGGCGCCAAGGTGTGGGCTCGCGTACTCCGCTCGTTCATCTCCTTGGCTGTCGACGGGTTTAGAGCGTTGGGGCATTGAGGGTTCAGGACTTTGGGGTTTAGGACTTTCGGGCTTAATTAGGACTGTTGGGTTTTTAGGACTTCGGGGTTTAGGACTTTCGGGTTTAATTGGGACTGTTGGGGTTAGGGCTTTCGAGTTTGGAGCTTAGGACCCGTAGGGGTTGCGACTTCATGTTGAAGGCTTAGGCTGGGTTTAGGATTGAGGGAGACTTGGGGTCAATGATCCATAAAAAGAGTTCCTGGAAGGTAGTTTACGGTGTGGGGTGCTTGAGGATTCATTAGTGCTTAGGCTCCCTGGAAACAGAGCGAGGGACGGAGGGAGGGAGGGATGGAGACAGAGAAAGAGACAGAGAGAGCGAGAGAGAGAGAGAGAGAGAGTGAGCAAAAACAGAAATAGGGAAGGGCAGGGAACTAAAGGAAAGATAAACCTCAAATCCTAAGACAAACTCCTTCTTGACATGTCGAAAAACCCACAAGTCGCAAGTTCGCAGACATTCCTCCAGAACCATGCAAGCCCATTTTCAATACTTTTTCCGGTCTTGATTCTGGGCCAAATCACTGCGTCGCGGTTTAGCCTTTAGAGCTCAGGTCTAAACTTCGAGAAACCTGGCCGAGCCTCAAAGAGCGAAAGATCTTACCTGGGGATCCAAAAGCCCACCGTTTTCAGGGTTCCACCCTCTAATCAAGGGGTCATAACCCACTATTTTGTAGGCTTTGGGGTCACAGCTAACCCTCAACAAACACTGCAGCGCTTGGAAGCTGCGACGCCTCAGCAAGCCGACATACAAAGCACAAGAAAGCCGGAAAGCTCAGGTATGAAAGAAGCCCTAGAAAGCACCCGCAAAGCCCTATATTCCCAAGGCGCAGTGCTCGCTTTGCGCTTTCGCTCGTTACCGCGGCGCAGGAGCTCCTTCGACATCTGTGGCTTTCGGGTGTTGATGTGAGGGTGCCTTTGATCATACTTGCAACGTTGTTTGTGGGTTTATCGGATTTGGGAGAATACGGCCGCTCCCAGTTGGGAACGTCAAGACTGGTGAATAGTCGTATCTTAATGGTCTAGCTATAACCGGTTCCAGCTCGATGGCAACAGTCTCCCTTTGTTTCCTGAAAGACACTGCCGCTGACCCTTGGGGGGGTTCATGACAAACCCTAAACCCTAAACCCTTAACCCTAAACTGTCTGGATTGGGGCATCGTCGGCCGGGGCCCATCCGTGGCCAAGGGTCGGAAGGCAGGCAAACAACTGCCGGCCCAGAGCCTGCAAAACCCCTTCATTAAGGAATATACCTTAAATCATATTAGGGACCCTAATATGATTTAAGGTATATTCCTTAATAAAGGGGGTTTTGGAGGCTCTGGCAAGATAATGAAGGTCCGGAAGGAGAGAAACGGACCGCCAATGATGCTCATGATGCCTCGGCCACGGGGCTCCCCAGGACCCCAGCTGATGCCCATGATGCTGCCGGCTCCGGTGCTTTGGGTTTAGGGTTTAGGGTTTATGGGTTTAGGGTTTAGGGGTTTAGGGGTTTAGGTTTAGGGGTTTAGGGTTTAGGGGTTTAGGGTTTAGGGTTTAGGGGTTAGGGTTTAGGGTTTAGGGGTTTAGGGTTTAGGGTTTATGTTTAGGGTTTAGGGTTTAGCATCCACAGGCTCACGAAGGCAATTTTGGAGATGGGCCTCAAGCTATGTCTTGTAAGATTGTTGAATGACATTTAAAGTTCAAGGTTATCTGCTGTTTAGGGTTTAGCTAGGGCTATCTCGGGCATGGGATATCTGGCGTTTGGGGTTTAGGTTTGTTTACCTCTGGTTTAGGGCTCAGGGTTTGTAATTTATGTGGGTTCAGGGTTTCTGCGGTTTCTGGGTTCAGGGTTTCTGAGTTTCGGGTTTCGGCTGTAGGCCTAAAGGGGCCTCTACCTGGCGACTTTCTGGCGATGCCAATAGACGGGAGTGGAGCATCGGAGGCCTCAAAAGGTGGGATGAAGGTAGGTAGGATGAAGGATTCCTATAGAAAGTTTGGGGAGGCTTCAGCCAACCGCTGCAAACAGCTATCGGGAGTGGCCGCTGATTCGCTACAGGCGGTTTTTTCGATGAGTTTTGAGGTTCAGGTCTGGGATATACATCGTGGGTTTAGGATTCAAGGTGGGCTTGATCAGTCGCCAATAGTTTTTAGAAGGCCCCCTCACCCTGTAATAGTGATTCTAAGGATTATATTAGGATCCTACTGTATTCCTTTTGTACCATTATTACAGGGTGGTTCTAACCAACAGTCGCCATAAAGCCCACAAGTCCCCAAAGCACTAAACCGAATGCCTGAAAATCAATCCCCCAAAGCACTAAACCGAATGCCTGAAAAGCTGTCTCTGGGCTCCCAGTGTGTATCAACCCACTGTTTTGGGGTCCCGATGAGTCCTCAAAGCTGCTCTTGTCAGGCACCGGCTCTTCACAGCGCCCCTCCAAGACGTACCTTCGAAGGATTCCGCGCAGGCTCTATCAAAGCTCTACCCAGATCTTCCCATATCCCTCACTTCAGGAATAGCATACCATATATATATATATATATATATTATACAATATATTATAATATGTATAGCAAGATCCCGAAAATGAAACGCTTTGGTTGAAAATATTGTAACACAATGAACAAAGTTTAGCACAACAACTTCCAGGTTTCAGGGTTTCTGGAGCATGCCCGTGGGCTTTGGGTCTGAGGGCCTCGGGTTCCGAATGTACTTGGAGGTTCCTGGGTAGTTACAAGCGGAGCTATAAGTAGGGTAACTATAATTATAAGATAAGGCCCGAAAGTCCTATAATAGTGAATACTTGGACCCTCTGGGATATTAGGGGACTTACAACTCCACTTATAACTACCCATGAAGCTCCAAATAGTTTTGGACTCCAGGTTGTCCGCGAGCCCCAAACCCCGATAAAATCCCCCTGTCTCTTCTAAACCCTAAAACCTAAACCCTAAACCCCCAACCCTAAAAGAAGCCTCAAACCTACAGCCCTAAACCCCCAAACCTTGAAAACCTCAAGCCCCAAACCCACACAGCTTTTTAGGGTTTTGGAGCCCCTTGAATTGCGGCCAGGTCGACTTGTGTCCCATTCGCTGGCTCTGCCCGCGGTTCACGCCAATGGCACCACCCAGTAAGTTGGTGATGTCGTTACCGAACCTGGGCTTGGGGTTTAGGGGTTTAGGGTCTGGGGGTTCGTGATGTCGTTGCCGAACCTGGGTTAAAATGGAACAAAGGGGCTTTGATAGCTCGAATGGAGTGCCGAACCTGGGTTCACTTGGTCCAAGGGCCTGAATCGTTAGAGCGAATCCCTCAGGTACGCAGCTTACTACTTGCTTGTTGACGGCGGGTGCATGTTTCACAATATGTTCAAGGCGCAGGCGTGTATATGCTCAGGCATGGCCCCTGCAACAGAAGACACGCACAAATCAAGAGTGAGAGAATGTACAGACTAAGCATTTTTACAGTATGACGATGATGATGCTTCGTTCGTCCGTGAAAACATATAGGGTCCGGTCGCTGTGCACTCCCCCGTATCTTCGGGGGTTATGAGCCCAAGCAGCTCGTAACCGGATCCTGTTTGAGCCATGGCACACCAAGATGATGGCACTAACACTGCTGATCACGACGATGCGCTAGCACAAGCTATGGATGAAGAGTTCGAGGAAGCAAGAGATGGCAACACGTCTGTTTCACCTGAAGATGAGAGAAGTCAACGCCTGTTTCCGGACAGCGAGCCGCTAGATCCACCGTATGGTTTGCGAGCGACTGGGGCATCTTTAGAGTTTGGTCTGGATGCTGCAGCACTTGGGTTGCTGGATGGGGGCTCGGGTAGCTCAACAGAACAGACGGCAACAAGACACTTCAGTCCTCAGAGTGATCACGAGTTGATTCCAGCCACAGAAGAGCCACGATCAGTGGCCGCAGGCAGGATGCCTCAAGTTACGGCGCCGCCACCAGCGGTGACGAATGATCTCATGGGACAGTTGAGTGCTATGCTACAGCAGACGCTGCAGAGCCATGTGGCTCCTGCTCTAGATCGTATGATGATGAGTCAGGCTGCGGTCATGTCCCGACTGGACAGGTTGGAGAGTGAGAGAGACTCCCAAGTGCCGTTGACGGCGCAAGGCGAGCATGTATTGGCCATGCTTCAGTCGTTGGAGGTGGGCTCCAAGCCAAGTGCTAGTGGGGCTAATGCAGATGCAGCGTTGAAGCAACCCACTACCGTTCCAGCGGGTGTTTTGCCTGAGTCAGCGGTTGGGGTTCAGGATACTTGTTTGCATCATGCGCGGGATTTGGCATCCAAGGGCAATGGTTCCGCTCACGTTCAGGCCCCAACGCATCAAAACAAGGGTGTGACGGTGGTGGAGGGTATCTCTTACGACTGGCAGATGACGCCGGATGGTCTTAAACTCACGCGTGTGCAAGAGAGAGAGAGGGGCAGAGAGAGTGGCAGTTGCACAGTCAGCCAGGTGCTTGATCAAAGGTCGATGTCTCCATTTCAGGCTACGTCCGTACATCATGAGGTCGTTACTCCTAACATTCGGAGGGTACACACCACTAGCCCGCCCAGGAGTAGAAGCACCCCAAAGCAAAGGAACACCCCAGCTGTACGAGCCGAAATCAGTGCTGAAAGGGATCGGGGTTGTAAGGGAGTTTCTACTCCAGGTAACGATCAGGCTGTAGGCAGACTGCCGTATCCGATATCGCCAGGTGGTACAGTGATTAGGCCACCACCCCCGCCACAGCATCAGACACAGGATCATTGGACAGGCAGTTGGGAGACACTTGGACCTAAGGCATGGGGGGCTTACCCACCTCCCCCACCCATCCCTGCTGCGTTGAGGACCACGGGTAGTACAGGACAGCAAGCAAGCATGGGTTGGGGTGGTTTCGGGTTGGGGAGCTCAGGCGGTGAGGCTTCAGGGATCAGGGGTTTCGGATTGGATCCCTCGCCGGGAATCGGCGAGAAGCCGGAGGAGCCTACCAAAACCTCGCTGGAGCTTCCTAAATTGGACAAGTACAACCCATCCACATCAGCCATCGTAGCAGGGGATTGGCTTATCTCGTTGACGCCAGTGATTACTTCGCTGTCCGCTTCTGCTTGGGTGTTTTGGGAGGACTGTGTAAGCACGGCCAAGCTGTTCTATGGCCGATGGTTATCCTCTTCCCCACTGGAGAGACTACATATCCAGGCGGAGGTCTTGGTAAACAGGTACCGCGATGGAAAGTTCTCGAGGGTTGATCAACGGGCGGTCAGTTTGTTGTTGGCTGCAGTGGGTAATGAGCTGAAGGATGATCTGATCTCTCTTCGCTTGCTGGGTACATGCGCTATTGTGTTCAAGGTTATGGCGAAATATCAACCGGGAGGAGCTGCAGAGAAACAGCAACTTCTGTCGTTTCTAGTCACCCCTGAAAACGTCACCACAAGCGCTGCATCAGTTAAAGCACTGCGGAAATGGCGTCGTTGGTTAGCCCGTGCTCGTGAACTCCAGGTAATCGTTCCTGACCCTAGCCTTCAGCTCAAGGGTCTTGAAAGGCTCGCCCCGACATTGTCCGATACAGCAGCCTTCCGAGTACAAACCTTCCGAACGCAGGCTCTGCTCGACCAGGCTCCAACTCAACAGACGGTTTTGCAGTTTTCAGAGCTCCTGCTTGCAGAGGCCGAGGAGGCGGTGTTGTCAGAAGCTGCAGACAAGGGTGGAGCGAGGCAGACGGTAGCTAAGGCGGATGAGGTGCCAGGAAAGGGAGGAAAGGTTGGGAAGGAAGGAAAGGGTGCATCAAAGGGGGCTGCCAAGGTGGATGGTGTAAAACAACTTTGTCGGCTCTGGAGAACCGATGACGGGTGTAGGTATGGGAAGTCTTGTACGTTTGCGCATGATGCCCTCACCCCTGCCGATAAGAGGTGTTTCAACTGCAGTAGCACAAAGCACCGAAAGCCAGATTGTCCGTTCCCGCGTGCGCAAGCCGAGCCCGGTGGGAAGCCAGGGAAAGGTAGCCAAAAGGGGAAATCAGGGGATGAGGTTATGAAGGCTCAGGATAAGGGGGCTAGTGAAACCGACAAGTCGGCTCGTGACGAGCTGATTGCACGGGCCAACGCGGTGTTGGAATCTATTCAAACCTCAATCAAGGCCTTGCAGCTAGGTTCGAAATACCCGCCGAAGCCAGGTCCCCGCGATGAAACAGGTCTGATAGACTCCGGTGCCACAACATGCATGCGCATGCGTAGGGAAGATGAGCAGCCAGTTGGAGAGAAGACGGTTTCGCTCGCGCAGGGAGAAGTTCAGATGGGATTCAGTGCCGGGGGAGTTTTACTTGCTAACGAAGAAGTTGAACCCATCGTTTCACTCCGACAGCTCATCACCATCGGCTTTCGTCTGGTTTGGTCCAAGAGGGCATGTCAACTGTTCGATGAAGAGGGTTACTCGGTTCCTTTGTCCACGGCTTCCGGCTGTCCGAGGGTGTGTAAGGCTGTAGCGCAAAACCTGATTGACCGCATCGAAACTTTCAACCTTCACGGGTATGGTGAAGATCAGCTTGCTATGATGCGTGATGCTGATGCGGTGTCCTGGGAGGCAGTCATGTGTAAAGTAGCCGAGAGTGTGAGAGAAGGTAGGTCAAGGGATGCTAAAATGTGGCATGAGATTTTATGTGAGAAGCTCTTTCCGGAATTCCCACGAGAGGCTGCCCAAGCAGTGTCTTTGATCTCACAGGGGTCTGGGCCCCCAGGTGCCTTCAATCGTAGGAGGCGCAGGGCAGCAGAGCGTTCCAAGGGTATAGTTCTGCATCTTTTCTGTGGAAGATCGAGGCATGAGTTTGACGCGGTAGCCGCGAAGCATGGGGCTAAGGTTGTAGCCATAGACTCCACTGAAGACCTTAACGATCCGGCTACGTACACATACTTGCTGAAGCAGGCGCTCGCTGGTAAGGTTGTTGCGGTGCTTTCAGGTCTTCCGGATAGGACTCGCTCAGCCCTTGGAGGTAAGGATGAAGGACCACCAGTGGTTCGGGCGCGGTATGGGGTTGAAAGGTTTGGATTGGAGAACCTCTCCCATCAAGAGCGTGAGAAGGTTGACTATGACGACCAGCTCATGCTCAGAAGCTTTATTCTGGGTGTTGCCTCAAAGTGGGGTCGGGATCAGATCCAAGTCGGACGAATGGCGGGTTTCCCGTATCTCCTGGAGAACCCAAGGGACCCTTGGGAAGTTTTTGGGGGTAGCCACGAGCAGGCTCCTTCGTTGTGGGTAACGCCAGAGTTTGATACATTGCGGAAGACACTGGGGCTACAGCTTCTGAGGCTTGATCAAGGCCCCCTGGGGCACATGTGTAGAAGGCCTACCACAGTAGCATGTCTCGAACGGTTATGGCCGAACTGGGCTATGAACATCCGAGGTCCGGGACACAACCGGGATACATCGGGGTGTAGTGCAGATCAGGCACGCTGGTCTCCAGGGTTAGTTCAAGCAGTAGAAGAGTACCTGGATGCTGCTCTTCAACAGGGGCCCACCGTAGAAGGTATGCGGAGGCTTCAGGTACAGCAATCCATGAAGGACCACGTGTTAGCTGGACATGTCCCCTACCGTAAGGACTGCTATGCGTGTGTAGCGGGAAGAGCGAAGAAACAGAATCATTACAGACAGACGGTGAGCGATTCGTTTGTGCTGTCGGTTGATCTCGCAGGACCTTTTAAGCGCGGTACTCATGAGGGTGCGAAGGCAAGCTACTTCCTTGCGGCAGTTTTCTCCGTACCTAGGGCGCCAGAGCTAAACGGGTCTAGAGTGGATAAGCCTGAGGCAGATGTAGCAGCTGTTCCGGGGGAGCCAGGGGAGTGGGAGAATGCGGATGACGACGATCGTGATGACGATGATGGTGGAGGCGTGGGCCCTATTGAGCTTGATGACGCCCCGGTGGAGCCAGAGCCACAACCGCTAGAACAGCTAGAGCTAGTTCACTTGCCGTTCGTCGTACCGTTACCCTCAAAAGGGGCAAGGGACGTGATGAATGGAATCAAGGGCATTGAGGCCAGGCTGTGTGCGATGGGGTGCCATGTAGCACGGTTACATAGTGATGCAGGTAAAGAGTTCTGCAATAACATGTTGCGAACATGGGCCAAAGAGAGAGGAATGCACAAAACAAACACAGGAGGTGACCGGTTCAAGGCCAATCCTTTTGCCGAGAACCTCATCGGCATCCTGAAGGGGTGTGCTAGGACCTTGATGAAAGAGTCTGATGTTAGTGATCAAGATTGGCCCTATGCTATCCGTCATGCATGCGCTCAGCGATTCCGCGATCAGGCTGTCAAGCTTGGGTGGGACATTCCGCGGTTGATTCCTTTTGGGGCTAAGGTTCACGTGCTTCAAAGAAGTTGGAATTTGGCAAGGGGGGGCGATTGGAAGTCGAGAGTGGTTGAGGCTAAGGTGTTGGCACCTGCGCGTGAGCTTTCGGCAGGGTATCTTGTGCGCACTGTAGAGGACACATTACTGAACGTACCATGCGTGTATGAAGACCTTGTGCATACAAACCCTGAAGAGTTTCACATCCCCGCCGAGAAAGCAAAGCCAGCTAGTCCAGCAGTGATCCCAGATGTTCGTGTTCGCAGAAAGACGTCGTTGAGCGCTCGGAGGGCAGAGAAACCGGCTGCTGATGAATCTGTTGCTATGCTTGATGGGCTGTTGTCTGAAGATGAGCACGCGTCATGTCTCGCCTCGATCGAGCCGTTCGATGTCGAGAGGTCTCGAAGGTTCGTGTTAGGATCGCGCTGGATTCGGGATTCTTCAGGACGGCTTGGGGCGAGGTTTCGTGAAAATGCTGGGTCCGCTAGGGTCCTAGGATTTTATTGTCATGGTGGCATTGTTGGGTTGACCAAAGATTGCTTATCCTTCCCAGGGTTTACCAAACTACTCAACCGTCTTGTGCAGCATGTGATACCTGGACATGTGTGTACCACACTTGCGATCCTCAGTCAGACCACGGCAAAGCCGCACAAAGACAAGTTCAACCAACCGACCTCCAACGCTGTCATACCCCTTGAGGTTCCCAATAAGGGGGGAGGGATTTGGGTGCAGGATGAAAGCGGGGCTGATCGGAGGTGGGTCACGCCCAAGCAACAAGCACCAGGCACTGTTCATGACCTCACTCCCCTATGTCCCTTCCTTTTGAACCCCCACAAGTGGCATGCTACAGAAGACTGGAGTGAAGGGTCACGCATTTTGCTGGTAGCTTACAGCTTGAAGGGTCTTGAGAGAGTCACTGAGCAGCAGCTTCAGCGGTTGCGTGATGTCGGATTCCAGCTGACTGCTGGCGATTGCCAGCAGGGGGGAGACCTAGAGCAACGCATTGAAGAAAACGTTTTCAAAGCCCCAGAGCAGGTTCTCCAAGGATCCGATGAAACAGCTTCAGAGTGTCATGATGTTCGCGCTCCGAGGGTGAGGGATCTTCAGAAAGAAGAGATGCGATCAGGGCTAACGCTTGTCCAACGGCGAAGGCTCACAAATCAGCTGAAAGCCGGTGATATCGTTGCTGTCCCAGCTATGTATGCTAGATACGGTGATGAGGAAGGGTCTTTCTCGAGTTTGGTGCGGAATCAGAATGCTCCGGATCCCTACCCATGGTTAGACCCAGCGAATGCAGGGAAGTTCGCAGCTGCGGGTGAAAGTCGTCGGCGAGATGAGGGTCGTAGTGATGCTCAGTGTCGAGATGAGGGTCGTAGTGATGCTCAGTGTTGTGATGAGGGTCGTAGTGAGACTCCATGTCGTGATGAGGGTCGTAGTGATGCTCAGTGTCGTAATGAGGGTCGTGGTGAGACTCCATGTCGTGAGGAGGGTCGTGGTGAGACTCAGTGTCGTGAGGAGGGTCGTGGTGATTCTCCGTGTTTTGATGGCCGTCGTGGTGACTCTTCGTGTGATCGTGATGACACCAGAGAGACAGAGGTTGAAAGCCAGGGCATCTTGAAGGGTGTAGGAAAGTTGAAACAGAAGTGTGTGCATTGGGCGCCAGGTCTAGTTGAGGGTCCAGTGGTTTCGAGTGGTACAAGTGGGTTTTCCGGTAGGTCCTTCAGGTGCAAGGCGTGTGAAAGTGATGTAGCTGGACTTTGCTCAATCTGTGAAAGACATGTCGTTGAGTATGCAGAGAGCGATTTAAAGGCTCCGCCTTCCCTTGGCCGGCCAGGCAGCGCTGGGTGGGAGGATGTGAGCTGTGACCCACTTGGGGTGGGTGCGCGTGTGGGGCATAAGGGTGGTCTAAACGCTCTGAATGCCGATTTTTCCGAGGATTGCGAGTTTGTGGACGTGTCCGTGACGAGTAATCTTCTGTTTTGTGAGCCTACTTGTGTCGAGTGGGAGAGCATTGTAGGTCGAGCTTCGGATCGTGAGGTTGGACCTGATGATCATGATACCTCGGGTGAAACTTGGGTTGGGGTCGGTGAGGCCTCTGAGTCTTTTGACCCTGATGGGCAGCAGATCGCCCTCCAGGCGTTGCTGAGTCGGGAGTGTAAGCTCCAAGATCGGAGTGGGGTAGCCGGGGATAGTGACCGTGAGGGTTATATTCATGGGCTGTCTTCCACGATCAAGCGTTTAGAAGAGAGGTGTTGCAAGGCCGATGACGGTGTCGAGTATTCCACGCTCCCCGATGCGGAAGTGCTAACTACTCACACTGTTCCGTTGGAAGAAGTTGAGAGGCATTACAGTTTGTGGTCCGCGGCAGTCCAGGCAGAACTTGATTCGTTGGTTCATGAAAAGCAGGCGGTAAGGGTGATCACCAGCGCTGAAATGCAAGCAATGCAAGAAAAGGGAACATGCGTGACCATTATTCCTAGCAAGATGGTGTTTACCCGAAAGGCTGGTGGGCGCCATAAGGCACGGTTGGTAGCCTGTGGAAATCATCTAGATGGGCAGGGCCAGGCTAAGGGTAAGCAGTCACCATCCAAGGCAAACCTGTATGCTGGAGGAATCGACCCTTCAGTGATGCGCCAAGCGGCATCGATTGCGGTTAAGAGAGCCTGGAAGGGGGGAGCTACAGATATCACTACAGCGTTTTTGAACGCCGAGCTGCTTGATCGAGTGAATCCTCGTTCCTCCCCACCTCCTTTGTCCTTGGATGTCCCAACTGAGGTGATTGTATTGAAGATTCCGAGCATTGTGCATAGACATGGACATGTTGATCGATCATGCTTCATGCTGGTGTGTAAGGCACTGTATGGGTTGGATCAATCCCCAAGAGACTGGTCTATCAAGAGGGACAGTGAGATTGAGGGCATGTCATGCCAAGTCGATGGGGTCACATGCATGTTTGAGCAGAGTTTGGTCGACTCTAATTTGTGGTACCTTCGGAGAGTGCCTAAAGATGGAGAGAGCCACAGTTGGAGAGAGCCTGTTGCATGCATGTTGGTGTATGTCGATGATCTCTTAGCCTTTGGTCCCAGTCCAGTCTTGACGATGATATTCGAGCTGATCACTTCGCGCTGGAAGTGCGGACCGGTAGAGTGGATCCCCGAGGACCCCACTAAACCCCCACTCAAGTTCTTTGGTTTTGAGCTGCGCTGGGATGGTAAGGATCTGTTGCTTGGCCAACAAGACTTCATTCGGGATGTGGCGACTAGGTACCCCGAGGCAACTGCCTCGTGCGTTCCTGCTACCCCGGGACCCTTGGATGTAGAGGATGCTTCCGAGCGTAGGCCCGAAGATGTTTCTGCTTGCCAAACGGCGCTGGGCGAAATCTTATGGGTTGCAGGGCGCACTCGGCCAGACATTATTTTCGCTGTTTCCCGCCTTGCACAGACCATGTCAAGGGACCCCGCTACGGTGAGAAAGAGAGTCATGCAGCTCATTGGTTACCTTGTCTACACGCAGGACCTTTGCCTCCGATATCGGGCTACGTATTCTTGTCAGGGTGAACCAGGCGCTACTGCCACCCCGAACGCTGAAGGTGTGATCGAGGCCATGACAGACAGTGCATTCGCGCCTGTATGTGAGCGATCGCAAGAGTCAACTTTGGTTTACACTCAAGGGTCTCTGACGGGGTGGAACACTGGTAGACAACCGTTCACTGCTGCGTCGACCGCGGAGTCAGAACTCTTGAGTTTGATGACCGGATTCAGCTTCGGTAGGGCCCAAACTTACGTCCTTCAGGAGTTTATGGGTAAGGTGCCACGGTTGGTCGTGTTGAACGACAACATGGCTTCAATCTCTATTGTAAATGGCGACTCCAACGGGTGGAGAAGTAGGCACCTGAGAATTCGAGCACATGTGCTGAGAGAACAGGCCAAGCAAGGACATGTCGTCGTGGGGCACATAGAGGGGGCGAAAAACATCGCCGATGCAGGAACCAAGGCCTTGCCGTATCCTCGTTTGAAGCTTTTGCGGGACGGTATGGGTTTAGATGCAGTTAGGAATGTTCATGATGCGCGCCCAAAAGGAGCTACGAAGGTCATTGATCCAGCTTCCGCAGCCAAGATTCAGGCCGTTGTGCTTACATTGGCAGCCGTCACGGCAGAGGCTCAGCAATCGCCAGATGAACCAGAAGGTCACAGCCATGAGCTATGGTTTTTGATGTTTCTGGTATGCTGTACGTCTATTGCTCTTTGGGAAGGTCTGAAGTGGGCATGTCGTTGGTGTTGTAGGCGACGCAGAGTACAGAGGAGAGCGGTTGAGCGACATGAACCAGAAGAGGAGCGTAGCTCAGATGGGGAAAATCAGCCTGATGATGAGGACGAACTTCAGGAGTTCTCGCCTCAGGCAGCGGACAGGGTAGAGGATCATGATGTAGCTCGTGAGCTTACTGTGCCTCCTGAGGGGACGGTCGTTCGTTACGTTGACGATGTGATGTATGTTGGCCCCCCTCCAGAAGAAGAAGAAGAGAGGTTGAGAAGAAGAAGACAGGGACAGAGAGTCTACCATGATGAGCCGGACTTTGAGCCAGCTGCTGTTGAAGCCTCCGGCCTACCGCCTTGGAATGTTCAAAACCGGGTTCGTCAGGCTCTTGAGGCTCAACGAGACGCGAGGGGTTCGAATGAAGGCCCAAACTGGATGCCAAATCAGTTTGTGAATTACCCGGTCATTCGGCTGCGTGCCGATTGGCCTGCATCAGAAAACCAACCTCCACTGGCATACTTGGCTGCTTACCAGTCCGCTTGGGGTGGGTTAGCTTCAGCGCTGCATCAGCTGCGGCCCAATGATGCTTACACGCGGGACGAGTACACAAGGCATGACGCGAGACAGAATGTGTTGATTCGTTGGCACTTCGGATGGCGTGTTATGCTGTTTGATCCCAATCGCACTACAAGTCCGGTTGCTATGAGCAGACTCACAGGAAGGAGACGTACGGTGATCACATACAGTGATGGTACAGAGGAGCTGCTGGACGACAATTTCCGGATTGACAGTGCGAGAAGGATGATGGATCAACAGTGGGTAGGAAGAACCGAGCTCGAGATCCGCGAGGGGACATGAGCAGCGCAGTGGAGGAATGGCATATGAACCGTTTTTGAAGCTAGAGAGCTTGCTCCAAGCTTTGCGGTCAGAAGGAATGCACCATGTACAGACACCGTCGAAGGGATGAAATTTTCATCCGGGGGAGAGCGAATCCCTCAGGTACGCAGCTTACTACTTGCTTGTTGACGGCGGGTGCATGTTTCACAATATGTTCAAGGCGCAGGCGTGTATATGCTCAGGCATGGCCCCTGCAACAGAAGACACGCACAAATCAAGAGTGAGAGAATGTACAGACTAAGCATTTTTACAGTATGACGATGATGATGCTTCGTTCGTCCGTGAAAACATATAGGGTCCGGTCGCTGTGCACTCCCCCGTATCTTCGGGGTTAGAATCATGATCTGTAGATGTTCTGATGAGCGGTTGATCGAAGGCTCTTGAATGGACTTCGGGTGTGGGTTGGGTTGAACAGCTAGGTTTCTAGGCTTTGACATAATATAGCGGGCCTGAACCGCTAGAATAGTCCGATAGGATGTATGAGAGTATGCTTCTGTAGGGACAACAAAGGGGCATGAGTGCATTTTAAACATCTGTACCAAAGCTCCGTAGGCAAATATACGCATCTATAGAGGGATTTGTACAGCTCATAAGGGCTTCGGGTGTCGTTGCCGAACGGCTTACTTGCTCTTTCATTGGGCAGCATTTAGGGTTCAGGGCTTGCGGGGTTTTGGGGGGTTCGGGGTTTGGGGCTTCAGGAGTTTGGGGTTTAGTGTTTGGGGCTTCAGAAGCTTTGGATGTGGGGTTTGAGGCTTGAGGGTTTAGGGTTCGGGGGTTGATCTGTCTAGTGTGGGCACAGCCTAACTAGACCCCAACACCACTCACGCGCTCTACCCAACCGAACTTCGAAGCAGCATATTTACATAGCACCCAGACCCCGAGCTCTGAAACCAAATCCCTAGGCCCTAACCCTAAACTTAAACCCCAAACCTCAATCCCTCAATCCTCTCAAACCAAATCCGTGATTACAAGATCACCAATCCAAGAGCCCTGTCAGCTCCTTGCAAGCCCCATGAACATCTACGCAAACCCAAAACCCAGTGGGGAGCTCCGCTAAACCAGTGTTACCTTTCGGTGGGCCCCCCATACACAGATCCCTTAAAGAAGGCTCCCCTACAAGGAAACCTTAAAAGGAACCCATAGAGGATCCCATGAAGGGACCCATACTAGGGATCTCGCTATAGAGTGTCCATTTCAGGATCCCTTCTTCAAGCTCCTAGACCCTAAAATTGTAAGAGCCTTATGAGTGCCTTGTAGGGCCCTTCTTGAACCTGAGGAATCGAATAAGTCACCTGCAGAAACAGGTATGAATCGAAGGAGCCAGATATACAAACAAAAACGAAAGAAGAAAGGCAAAACCCAAGAAGCACTTCCACGTAGCTGGCCCCGAGCTCCACTTCGAAGCCAGCCTTCCTCCGTACGATTAGTGCTCAGGGATGAGGGATTAGGGTTTAGAGTTCCTTTCAGGTTTAGGGTTTCGGTTTTTGGGATTGGGGTTTAGAGTTGAAGGGCTTAGTGTCAGGGTTTAGGGTAAAGTTTTGGGTTGAAGGCCTAGTGTTATGTAGGTCTTTCAGGTAGACGCAGCTTTCAGATAGAGTTTCGGGTTCAAAAGTGCTCCGAGGGAAACCATGTGGGTATAGAGAGTCTTATGGGGATCTATAAAATTTCTTGGATGTTTAGGGCTCATGGCTTTGGACAACGGTATGCCTTTATAAAACAAGAGGTCCAAGGTTTATGTTTCCACAAGAAGCGAAGGTTTAAGCTTCTAGGCTCATGGCTTTCGGTTTACGTTTTGGTTTTAAGCTTTCATATAGGAACCTGATTCAGAAACCTTGGGTCTTTATTTGGGTTCTTTAGAACATGAACCTGATACCAGCACCTTGGTGTTATAGGACCAGGGTTTCTTAATCAGGTTCCTATATTAGGGCTTAAGGCTCTTTTGGGCTTGGGTGGGGATTGAAGGCTTTCAGAGTTTCAAGGTAACTCATGCTGCGACCGTCGTCTTATTAAATCATAATGGACCTGAAGAGACTTAGCGCAGAGAAGGCTGATCACTGATCAGGCCTTTGGACGAAGTTGGTTGCAGGCTTAGGATGTGGTTGGCGGATTTAGAAGTTTAGGGTTTGTCGTTCAGAAGTATCACAGAGCTTACGTTCAGGATCATGGAACCTAGTGACTCGGGTTACTTATACCTATACTTCCGCTTAACAGCCTATATATGATCCCAACGAGCTTACTTACTAGTCAAAAATACCCTGAACCACTTCTTCCTGGGAACCCCCCCCCCCTCCCCCCGCCAAACCCACCTCCGGGCATCCACTGCGGCCAGAACGTCCTCGAAGGTTTTCAATGAAACCTTTATTCCCAGAGGGTCCATATACACTACCACTATGGAATCATGTCCCAAAGGACCATCTCTATTTTGGTGTTGGCACCCTAACTCCATGATAGGGGTATTTTTGGACCCTCTTGGATACGTGGTCCCTTTGGGTGTCTTGGGAGTCGGGCTCAGGGTCTAGAGGGCAGGGGGTTTCAAGTTCGTTTAAAGGCTTTGGGGCTGTGGTTCAGGGATTGGGACTGAATGAGGACTTAGCATCAGAGCCGAATGGTTCAGACAACGGGCTTTCGGCAGTGCAGGAATCGGGGTTTTGGGTACGGGGGTTCTGGATCTAACCCCCTTTTTATCCAAATTCAAAGCCCTGAACCCCTGAACCAAAATCCCAAACTCGTACAATAAAATCCTCAACCCCCGAACCCCAAAACCCTAAAACCCTGAAACCCCTTTTAGATCCCTTTAACGGAACCCTTCTCATCACGAAATTTGGGATTGTCCGAATACTCTAAATACCAGGATCCTTATTATTCGGATCCCAAAATAAGGTACCCCCCTAATTTTCGGAAACTCTAAACCCTAAACTCTTTCTAGAACCCTCATAGATCCCTTTAAGGAACCCTTATAGGATCCCTCTTCAGGAACCCTTATAGATCCCTTTAAAGAACCCTAATTTTCGGAACTTCCCATTTCCCACTCTCCCAGAGCCCGAGCTCCTCCGCAATGGCACTGACCAAGCCGTCTGAAGAATCGGCGCCTGGCGCAGACTGTGGATGGACAGTATCCTGCATGACCCAATATGAGGAATATAGCATAATTCCCATCGTTTAAGGTCCTTAAGGTCATGCAGGATTTTGTTGACCCAGAATTTCGGGAGGATCCAAAAAGTAGATCCCTTAATTAATGGGGGGTTCCTATAAAGTACCCTTCGTAGTATAGGGCCCCAAATTAGGAGATCTACTTTCTACGATCCTCCCGGGGGACTGATGACGAGGGAACCCGGAACCCTCGACTGTTTAAAGTGCTTAGGTTTAGGGACACCCTATAAACCTTAAGGGTTTAGAGAGAAACCCTAGAATAGGGTGTTTGGACCCATTATACTCTAATCACAACAAGGAGCCCCAAAAATAGTACAGGCAATCCTTAAGACCTCTAATGGTAGGGCTGTCGCTGGAATTTACAAGGTCTTATGGCTGTGTTTAGGTTCACAAGGCTTTGGGAGGTTGAAAGGTTTATCGGTTTGGGGTTGAGGTTTTGGGATTGGTGGAAAGGAGCTATTAGGGTTGTCGCCGTAGCAGCGGATGAAACATTATTGTTGGCAGCGGCAGTGGCACCAGCTGCTGTAGTAGCAGAAGCAGCAGAGCAGCAGCAGCAGCAGCAGCAGCAGCAGTTGACGTTGTAGTAGCACTCTGGCAGTAGCAGCTTCGCAACAGTCATAGTAATCGTCGCCGTCGTGCTGGTGCTGCTGGCGACGGCCATTAGAAGTCATGGTGATTACCATTTCATGCTATGACAGCTGCGAGCTCTCTTGTAAACTTGTCGCCGCTCGCCTCCAAACATAGTGTGGGTCTTTCCGCTACCGGTCTGGCCATAGACCTCGCTGGCACTGGCTTAAGGCTTCTTAGGGGCCTTAAGAATTAGAATAGGGTTCCGGTGCCCACTATACTATAATAATGATAAGGAACCAGGGTAATTATCAAAGCCCCTGTATTAGGTCAGTGGATTCAAGCTTTGACGTCAGAGTGCGCAGGTTGAATGATCACATAGTATATAGGGCCTAAACCATCAACTCTATAGACCCTCCAACTTCTATGGATGAACTACTTGGGGGGTATGACGCCGGATTAAAACCCTTATAGGGACCTTCCAGGAACCCTGCAAGTCAAGGAATATTCCTTATTTCAGCGGCACTAAATCCTAACCCCGAAACCCAAAACATCCCTAAACACTAAACAACCAACACCTGAACCCAAAGCCCCAAACCCTAAACTCCCAAACTCCTTAACCCCAAACCCTCAACCCTAAACCCACGTTGTAGGAACCCTTCTAGGATCCTTGAACCCTTCAAGGATCCCTTAAAGGAACCCTTGAACTTAAAGGATCCTTTTACAGAAACCCTAAGGTTCCTAGGATACCTGAAGGAAACCCCTCTGAGATCAGCCGTGGAGCGATGAGGGCTCCTGACTGGCCATTGACCAGCCTCGGATCTCTTGGAAGGGCTTTGTTTTAGGGCTCAGGGTTGGGGGTTTAGGATTTTAAATTAGGACGTTTGGGTTCCTTTTTAGGGTTTAGGGGAAATTAAGGTTTGGTACACTTCTCGATTTGTGGGTTTAGGACTTTAAATTAGGACGTTCGGGTTAAGGTTTGGGGTTTAGGGCTTACGGTTAACGATGTGAAGACTTTCGGGTTAAAGTTTAGGGTGAAAGATTTTGCGGTTAAGGTTTAGGCTTTAGGGTGGATGTCTTCGAAGCAGCAACGGATCAAAGGTTGAAGGATGTGGTGCTTAAAGGGATGAAGGTTAGGGACCAGGGTTCAGGGCGTAGGGTGATATTAATGCTGTTTTTGCAGTTCCCGACTGGACCGATTGACAAGAGACCACTTAAGCAGCTTGGGCTTGTTGTTAAGTTAG